TAGTGCTCACTGCGATTGTGTTGCAGGATTGGGAGAAGTGTGTACCCATATAGGAGCTGTACTGTTTTCTTTGGATGAAGCAGGAAGATCTAGGGAAGAAGTAACTAGGACGGGGGTGAAGGCTTACTGGATGCCTCCTACAAACAAACCAGCAGATCCATCAACTACTGCCAAAATTGATTTCAGAACTGCAAAGCAAAAATCCCAGGACAAACCTATATTCCAAAGAGAAGAAGTCAGATTGGCTGTTCTTGCGCCTTCAAAAGAAGACCAAATGTCCCTTCTTGAAAATTTGAAGCAAGCAGGGGGTTGTGCCTTGCATAATATAATCCCTCCATTCTCCAAAGAAGTACACAAGGAGATTGAGGAGAAAAATCAATTGTCTTTTCTCCGTTTTTATAAGCAAGAGTATGAGACAAAGTCATTACAGGAATTGAGAGAATTGGGTAAATAAAATGCAAATGTAGGTAATCGATTTGTTTAAATAACGTTTATATATTATTTTAGGCCAAAAGTTGCAAGTTTTTATGTCCATTGAAGACTGCAAAGTTATTGAAATAGAAACGAGGCAGCAATCGAAATGTAATTCTTGGTTTACTCACCGTCTAGGAAGGATCACTGCATCTTTATTTAAAAAGTGTTGCAGGACCAAAATTGATAAGCCTTCCATATCTTTGATAAAAAGAATTTGTTATCCCACTAAACTTCGGGTGAGGGCAATGGAATATGGCTGCGAACATGAAAAGTATGCCTTGAAAGACTTCCTATCATATATGACACAACAACACCATAATTTCCAAATTAGGAAATGTGGTCTCTACATAGATCCTGAACTATGGTTTTTTGGTGCTACTCCAGATGGCATAGTTTCTTGTAGTTGTTGTGGTGTCGGTGTCTTGGAAATAAAATGCCCCTACTGTGTCCAGTTCAAAAGTATATTGGATTTAACCCAGAACAAATATTCCTTTTTAAAGGAAGTGAATGGTGAATTGCAAATTAAAAAAGACCATGATTATTATTATCAAGTGCAAATGCAAATGGCCATAACAAAATTGAAATATTCCTATTTGGTAGGATGGTGCAGAAAAGACTTTGCATACTGTAAAATTGTTTTTAATTCCAGTTTTTGGACCGACAATAGTGATATTGCAAAACAATTTTTTTTCGATATAATCTTGCCAGAATGTCTAGGCAGGTATTATAGCAGGCAAACCAATGTTTTGGCAGAATTTCCAGAAGAAGAAATAGAGGAGTCTCCTGAGGAGTCTCTTGACATCGATTTATACGAAGAACTAGTTTTTACAAGCGAAAATGTAGAAGAAGTGTCATCACCAAAGCCTGGACCAAGTAATGTTCCAAAGGAGAAAGAAACTTCTCCAGAACCAGGACCCTGCAAGAAATTATATTGCATCTGTAGGGAAGAAGATGATGGTGTTACTCCAATGATTGCCTGTGAAGCAGAAATGTGCAGAATAGAGTGGTATCATCTCAAGTGTGTAGGTTTGTCAAAAATACCCAGCTCAGTTTGGATTTGTGACATTTGCAAGGCTTATTCTGATTCAGAATAGATTTTTTTACATTTTAAAAGTTTGTTTATTTATTTATACCTTACTAAAATATTTAATGAAATAAAACCACATTTTTTGTATTTGTCTATGTACTATATTTTAATTTAGTCAGTCAATACAATACAAAATTCCTTATTTTCAAGTGTGTTACGAACAATATTATATAAAAATAATTAACACAAAATACTATCACCAAAAAGAAAGAATCATTTTTTTAAAGTTTTAATTATTTCTCTTAATTTGATTATTAATAAAATAAGAAAAATTAATATTTGGTAACATAGTTGGTGGATCGGTTCTATTCGGAGTAGAAGTTACTTCTGTGAGTCTTCTGTTTCACAAGCAAACTTACAGACTCGTCACAAAAATACCACTTTTACTCCTGATAAAACAATAATGCTATTTTTCTATTCAATTTAATTGAAGCATTTGTAGACATTTGCCATTGTCCATTGATATTAGACATGTCAATTGTATATACCCCTGTCCAATCTTGTTTTTTTTAGAGCCCCTAAAAATGTATTTTTATTATTAAGTGAGAAGATTCTTTTATATACAAATTTATTTTATCATTTAAAATTATTTTTTAAGCAGTATGATTAGAGCTAATGCTTCTATAACTTAACTATTTAAGCTTACCCATTCAAAATTTATAAAAATGCCTATTAACTATACCAACTAGCTATATTTGCAGTGATCTTAGTATGTATTTTAAAAAATGGTCTGTTCTAAGTTGAAAGAGGGCAACGGTGATGATAGATGGTTCTGTTTTCATTAGGCTTTAGGAATTGAACATTAAAATCATCTGCAATGACTGCAATTAATATTTTTTGTTTTTTTTGTTTGCATCAACGCAGTTACATAGGATATTTTTAAAAATGTTTTGTTTCCTGTTGGTGGCCTATAAACAAATTATTATGTCGGAAATAATTTTAAAACTGAAAAGTAAATGAAAGTAACACAAGCCTTCCTCCTCAAAATACTTTAATTAACTCTCAAAGAGCCCTACATGTTGCCCCTGATGATGAGGCTTTCTAGCTTTGGAACATAGAGCTCTTTAAGAGTTAATTAAAGTATTCTGTGGAGGAAGACTTTGAGTTTTCTTTTTGAAATGAATTAAAGATTTATTTATTAAAAAGAAATTAAAGTGGGATTATGCATGGGCATAAATTGAGCATAGCTGAACAAACTACAACAATTTTATCTATTTGAGCCACATCAGGGCTTCCTTTACGTAAAGAACTTAAGGGAAATTCTTCTGTCAATATTCTATATTTTCGTTTAAGGTGACCTATCACTCTTTCTACATGTATCCTGACACTTGCCAATTTTCTAGTTGTTTCTGTGTCATTGGCGTCTAACTGTTTTTTTCCCTTTAAAAATGCTGGATACATTACTTTAGCAGAATATATCTGTACACTTTCGTCAATAGAAAAACCCCTATCTGCTAAAATTAAATCCCCCCTAATTAAATTATTTAAAAACCCCGAATCTTTTGTTATAAATTTATCACTTGCTCTGCCTCCATAAGCATTTGAAATGAACATTATAGTGCCTTGTGGTGATATGCCTATTAAAAATTTTATAGTATGATGGTGTTTATAATTTGACCATAATTTTGCAGAAGCTTCTAAATTTGAGGGCTTTTGGACAAATAGTTCAAAACAATCTATTATCACTGTAACCTTGTTATCAAAAATATTCCTGAAGCATTTTGGCATATTAAGTTGGAGATCCTCTCTTGAAGGCCATGTTATAAAGCATTTTAAGCGGGCAAATAAAATATTTAAAACATTTTCAAACGTTCTTGAAGCTGTAGTTCTGTGGCAAAGAAATCTATTTCCTAAATCTGTAAACTGTAAATTAAGCCTTAGCTTCATTAAGGTAAGAATAAGTTGCTGAAATTGTGATAACACATTATTTGAGGACAAAAATGGTTGAATAAAATCAAAAACACTCTTAAGATAATCAAATTTAGGAAATCCTGTGTAATAGTTTACTCTCTCATCATTATTTTTAAAATAGGATTCATTCAGCATGTAGAGTGACAGTTTTGATTCCAAATTATAAATTTTTTTATTAGCCGTTCTCAAGGCTAAGGACAGATCTTCCGTGCTTGGATTTTCTGCAGTATTTGCAATATTTGAATTTGCAACTTCATGCTGAACTGCTGGTTGATTGTCATTAGGTTCAGTTTCTGTGTTTTCTGCTTCAGCCTGAAATAATCTTAATAATTATATAAAACAAACAAAATAATGTCCTTTGGGCCTCTAGAAAAAAAAAGCAAAGCTTGGTAATGTACCCTAGTTTTACATCCACATTAAAGTAATGGTCCATTTTGCTCCTACAACAAAAAAAAATAAAAGCATTGTAAGTATTAGTATTAAATATATGCAATAGCATTTCAAGCCAAATGTTAATTCTTTTTCACTCAATTTTTCATGCAGTTTAAAATACCTTTGACCTGTTTTTAGCTCTTTCGAATCGATTTAACGACTTCGAAAAATAATTTTTTTTGTAACCCATATTCACATTAGGCACCCAGTCTGGATGATCTTTTTCATGCAGATCTGATGGCTCACCTGTAAAAAATCATCAGTTTATCCCCAATGTTACCCTTTAAGACTTAGTAATTTAGAAACCTATCAAATAAAACGCATACATTTGGTACCTGATAGTGAAAGAACTATATAGATAAAGGTTTAACTTAAATTACCCACCCGATTGAAAATGTTTAGAACAAACGCGTGCATATTTTGCCTTTTTGTTATTAAAATCTTCTCTTTTTAGTGCCAATATCCACTTTTGCAAACGTTCTGAGCGAAGTGGGCAAACTTTTCTATCTGCACCAAACACAGACGGAAATCTACAAAAATCCCTTACATTAAAAAAGCACTGATATTTTATTTTATTTTAGTTTTATATTCAACAAATCCTGTACCTACAGTTTATCGAGGAAAATAAAGGATCACTTACTTCGATGAAGGTCTCGAGGAAGATCTAACAAAATGTTGCCCCAAAACAAAAATAAGTAAAGTATTACAGACTGATAGTATAATAATAATAATACTGATAGTATAATAATAAATTACTCACCTGAAATACTTTATACCTATTGTTTTGGCTGCATTGCTATTGCATTTTACAACAGCACAGTATGAGGGCATTTTTACAAAAGTTTAGCTTGTGGGATCTTGAAATACACTTTCAACAAACTTAATAAACGATTACTGTTTAATTTCAAGGGTTTACCATTTCAAATTACTCCCTAATTAGCGAGTAAAAGTGAAAACAAATTTTAAAACAATAAATTTACAATGAAAACAACATACAAATGTTGGGTTATTGTACCTCCAGGGTAGTTGACAGGTCACGTGCTGCACGAAACCTATTAAAACTTAGCCGCTTTTAGTACCTAATTTAGATATAAATATGGCTTCAAATGACGATAAAAGAAAGGTAAACCTTTAAAAACCATAAATCCCTAATTGACTTAAATCCATACTGTATTTATAGGCATCTAACGCTAGCCAGGACCAAAAAGAAAAGAAACGCAAAGAGTCCATTCTAGACCTCTCAAAGTACCTGGAAAAAACAATCAGAGTCAAATTCGCAGGGGGCCGCGAGGCTAGCGGCATCCTAAAAGGCTACGACCCTTTGCTAAACCTCGTACTGGACAATACTTTGGAATATTTGAGGGATACGGACGACCCTTACAAATTGACCGAAGATACGAGGGAGTTGGGGCTAGTTGTGTGCAGGGGCACCAGCGTGGTACTTATATGTCCCATGGACGGGATGGAATCGATTCCCAATCCTTTTATATCTCAAGATCAATAGTTTTAAATTTAATCTAAGAATTAAAGTACATTTTGGTAATATAATTGTTTTCTTACCAGGAAAATGTAGAATCCTTTTGTGGGTATTTATAGAAATTTCTAGAGGAGTTGGAAAAAATCTGACCCCCATTTGCGAGCATCGATTTTCAATCCGGTGTAACCAGCATCTCAATATTTCGATTTGTTTTTAAGCTACAAGGGAGAAAGTGGACAAAATCTTCATAAATAAGAAAGTGGTAGACCCCCCTGCCAAACTCCAAACTTTTCAAAAACCCCTCATACCATAAAAACGACTCAACATATCAAGATACGGTTTTCACCAAAATCGAGGCTCACAAATGGGGGTCAGAACTTTTCAAACTTCTCTAGAAATACCCAAAATCCCTCAAAACCATTGAATCTTGGACACCCGGTACATTTTTCTCAATATTTCAATAGAAAAAAAAAAAATTGAATCTCCTCATACTACTGTACTTGATGAAAAAGAGAAAATTTATTTATTTATTTATTTATTGACGGACAAAATGTCCATTTTTTCTTTACAAAAATTCACAGTGAGAAATATTATACACTAAAGACTTAGCCTAAACCTAAGCCTAAGGTTGGTAGCTTAAAACTATGTTACAAGTTATAAAAATATAAATATATAATATAATTTAATTACAATTACAATTTAGACCCAAGCAATAATCACTTATGGATACAGGACTGGAATAACCTGAGACAGCTGTCTGAGGAAATGGTTCTCTGTGCAAGTGAAATCAAGCTCAGGAAATCTGTTGGCCAGAGACATGGCTCTAGGGAGAAAAGAGTTTTTACTATAGTTAGTACGACAAAATGGTACATTAAAGAACAGATGATTTCGAGTATTAACTTGAGGAACATTTAGAGTAATCTTACCAGTGAGTTGCGGACAATCAATCATTGAATTGAACACTCTAAAAAGACAATGAAGATCATGGAGATCCCTGCGAGTCTCCAATGGAAGGAGATTCAACTCTCAAAGTACAGGATATGTGCTCTCATTGTTGAAAAATTTGTAGTTAATATGGCGAAGAAACTTTCTCTGAACTCTCTCAATTCTTGAAGAATGTATTTGATAGTATGGAGTCCACACAGAGGACGCGTATTCTAGATGAGACCTAACAAGACTGCAAAAAAGAATCTTAAGCGTACGGTAGGAGGCAAAATCATGAGTGTTCCTCTTTATGAACCCGAGCATCCTGAAAGCTTTGTTCACTATGACAGTAATGTGATCAACATAAGAGAGTTCAGGGTTAAGCATGATACCAAGGTCCTTTATAGTTTCAGTTGTTGTAAGAACGTCATCCTTAATGAGATAATCAAAGTTAGTTTTTACTTGTTTTCGTGAAAAAATCATGAGTTTACACTTGGACGCATTTAGCTCCATTCCACAAATCCATTTAGGTCGCGCTGAAAGTCCAGACAGTCAGCAGGACTGGAAATGACTCTAAATGCCTTTAGATCATCTGCAAATAAAAGGATGCTGCAACATTTATAAAGATATTGAAAATTAGTGGAGCCAGATGTGAACCTTGTGGAACTCCAGAGGTCACTGGTATTTCACGAGATACAAAATTGTTAACCCTGACCTTCTGGACTCGACCAGTCATGTCAGTCCGAATCCAGTTGAGCATTGGACCAGAGATCCCACATGTTCTCAGTTTGTTGAGCAGGATCAAAGACACAGTGTTTCTGTCTGCTTCTCTGACTTCCTTTCACACCTTTGTGCAATCACGTGTAAGATATGGTGTCATTTTCTGGGGTAACTCTACATACGCCGAGAGAATACTTGTTCTGCAAAAGAGATGTCTTAGAACAATTTTAAAAAATACACCTGAAAGAGTACAAAATTTATTTTTATATTTTAAGATCAAATAAAGTGAACTGAACTGAACTGATGTTGTGAGGAACTTTATCAAAAGCCTTAGCGAAATCTGTATATATTGAGTGAACCTCCAGTCCCCTTGCAATACTAGATGTGTAGGAAATGAGATTCGATTCCGTACTTCGACCAGCACAGAGGCCAAACTGTTCGTTAATTATCAAAGGTGATAGCATTGATGATTATCTCGCCACTAGTTTCTCAAACAATTTTGGTATTGCACTCATAATACTGATAGGTCGGTAGTTTTTTATATTAGATCTATCACCTGATTTATGGATAGGAATGACATAACTGATCTTCCAAATGTCAGGGAACTAGCCAGAGTTCAAAGATTGATTAAAAATTCCATGAAGAGGTCTAGAAAGAATAAATGCACAGTTTCTTAAGAGAATTGGATGAATATTGTCTAGACCAGGTCCCTTAGATACATCCAAACCAGCCAGTTCGGTGTAGGGTGTAGATATCAGATATGAGCACATTGTGATTTGTAATATTAATGTCATTGAAAGAAAAGTCTGCCTGGTGTTCAGGCTGGTTTGGAGTATAAACGGAGCCAAAGTATCGAGCAAACAGATCGGTTTTGACACCCATCTCAGAGTGCTCATCATCTAGATAGAGATCCGATGGAATGGCGGATGAATTACGTTTAGAATTAACAAAGTTCCAAAATTGTCTTGGATTGCCATCCAGTTCAGTCTCAATGTTTTGTATATAGCCTTTATAACACTGGTTAGACATCAATTTACATTGAGAACGTAAGTTAGAAAATATTATGTAGTTATGCTGGTTTGGGTTGGACTTGTAGTTTTTATGAGCAAATTTTTTTCTCACAAGTGAGGCTTATGAGTTCTCGAGAGAACCAGATGGGGAATTTTTTACTGGCCACCTTTTTTAAAGGAACAAAAGCCTGAATTACATTATTTAAGACTTCATAGAAAGTATTTACCATTTCATGCACATCAAGACAACAGAGAATTGAGTCCCAGTCAACCAGTCCCAAATATTCATTAATAATTGCATAGTCGGCTGATTTAAATTCCGAATAAAAAGTGTTTGCCTGAGGACTAATCGAAATATGTTCATTTTTTGACACTAAAATATTAAATGAAAGGGACGGATGATGACTATCAATCTTAACAAGTGGATCACAGTTCTGAACATCAAATATCTTATTAAAAAAAACTAAATCTAAAATCACATCATTACCGTTTTGTATGTTGTTAAGCTGGAAGAAACCATGGTATGCACATATATCCGAGATTGCAGAAATTTTTTCAATAGTTTGTGGAGACATATAAACATCTATTTCTTGACGAGGGATAGCTATGGAAGAGTCGACAGTATTAATCCATGTGGCTTTAGGAATGTTGAAGTCTCCAGTAATACAAATATCAGTGATACCTGATAGAACATATTTTTCAGTTGGAGAATTTGGTGGAAGATAAATGCAGCCAAGAATACGCAATGGTTTTCCTGATCCGATTTTCACAAAAATCTGTTCTAATTCAGGAGTAGTTGGCACGAGAATACATGTAATGGATTTGCGGATTGCAATTAAGCAGCCTCCCATTGTTTTCTTATCACTGGTGTCAGTGGATCTGTCCCTCCTGAAAATGTTGTAGTTGTTCAAGCCCAATTCATTATCTGAAATGTCATCTGATAGATTTGATTCTGTAAGATTGCATCATAGTTGTTTGTGGAAACATTGCATATAAGAGTGATGAGTTTGCCACGTAGCCCCCTCACATTTTGGTAGTAAACATGTAGTTTACTTTTAAATTTAAATTTTGAATTTTGGCAGTCAATTATTAGTTTTCCTCATCGGAAACAATTCGAGGAGTGCCTTTGATGTATTTGATTTTAAGTAAGTTTTCGCCTTTTGTCTTTCTTTCATTAAATTCAGCTCTAATTTTCTTTTCAGTTTGTTGTTGTTTTAACAGTCAGGTAAAAACTCATATACACTTTCTTACCAATGAGTTTATTTCGGTTTCGGATCAGTAAATGTACATCATTTTTGCAGCTTAATGTGATTCTTACTGCACGGGCTCTTTTGCAATTCTTTTTACCAACTCTGGAAAATTTGACAATAGTTACTATACTCCACCTACTGTAGGTGGAGCATCCGTAATGCTACTTAGCACTTAGAAAAGCTATTTCTTTAATTTGTTTTCTATAAATCTCTTTTTATTTATTAAAAAACATTTTTTCCTTCATAGAAACCTCCAGATATATTCCTATATCATTTGCCATACCTTTCAGTAACACAAAAAGAATCTACTGAAAACCAAAAGCATTATTTGGTTCATAGTATATAATAAGGAATGAAATAATACACAAAAAAATATCTATTATAATATTTATTAGGCTAAAACTACTTTATTTAAATTTATGGGAGATTATTCAAAATCATTTGGAGGCCTTGTATAAAACACTAAGGTTTATACAAGACCCTCAAACCATCATTATAAATATAATTATGACTATACCTACCTTAGGGGCACTGTAACAAAAATCTTTTATAACTGCATAAATTCAATAAAACCGCTCGTTTAATTTTAAATTTAATGCAACTTGTTTAAGGTCAAAGCACAATTACTTACCATTTTATACTTTAAACCTCAACCAAGTTGCTTTGGGGCCAAAAAAAAATAACTTAAAAAGAATCGCTGGATCGGTTCGAGTCTTGTCAGGAACAGCAGCAAACGGTGCGATTTGATTGGCTGGCTGTCAGCTCTACAAAGACCAAGTGTTTTCTGCTGCTCTCGCCAACCATTCTCTGCTCCTCTCTCTCTTTCTCACCAACCCCCGCAACACACCAAAACCGCTTAAACCGCATACTCTCTGCGCCTGCTACCACATAAAAGAGGCGTTAGTGATTTTTTTTTTTGAAGGACAATAATGACCTTTGTCCACTGCTGCAATTAAGATTTTTTTGCAGCAATGGACAAAGAGCTTAAATGTGAACTAAATTGGTGTATATGGGTGCTTTTTTAAGTAATAATTAAAAATAATAATAAACTCCCCAAAAATTATTTGTTAAAACCGACTTTTAATGTCAAGAACAGCACTTATCAAATCAATTACATACCCCCTGGAAGGTGTACATGAAATAATTTCAAAGAAAAAAAAAAACAAACTTAGACCAGGGGCAAAATACAAAAGAAAACCTAATATATATAGGTTATCAATACATTAAACTAAATATACAATCAAAAGAAGACAAAAACTGTTAGGCCCCCAAGTAAATAAATATCTAGGTACAAATTTCAAAAGAAGTGTCACGCAGCAAAAAAACCTGTATCTAGATAACAAGACAATAAGTTGTTTAAAATAAAATGGGAGATGAAATTCTTAAATCTAAATCAATAAAAATACCTTGGCCAAATTAAACAGGCTCTGCTTGCTAGTTGCTAGCCAGACTGCGTAATAGGCTTCACCCAATGCACTATGCAGGAAAAATCTATAACAAAAAAAATAATTAGTTAAAGTATTACAGTGTTCTTATTTTACAGATTGCTTAGAAAGTCCCTATAAAACTCTAAAGATAAAAGGATCATCCCAAATATGGCAAATAACAGGCTTCCTAGCTTCTATTGTTGTGTTCCTTCTCCTTCTCAAATAAATTAGTGTTTTTGTTTTCCTACTCATATTTGGAGATCTAGTGAAATCAAGGGGTAAACCACCATCCCAGAATTGGTGCAAAAGGGAAATTTTTTCGCATAATTCCTGCAAATTCCTCCAGATACCCTATCACAAATTCCTCCAAATACCCTATCACGAACTTCTCCAAATACCCCACAAATTCCTCAAAAAAAAGGGAAAATTTTGAAACTTTCTGCATGTAAAGAGGAAGGAGACAAGATCATTTTTCCAAAATTTAAAAGTTTTCCAGTGCAACATGAAAAATCTTGGAAATCAACCTACAAAAACTGAATTAGTCGAAAATACAATCTCACACATTTCAAAGTTTTCCAGGAAAACCAGAGAAGGGGAAAATTTTTAAACTTTTTGCATGTGAAGAGGAAGGTAACGAGCTCATTTTTTCAAAATTTCAAATTTTTCCAGTGAAAAACAGTAAGATGAAAAATCTTGAAAATCAACCTACAAAAACTGCATTCATTATTCTTTTGAATTTTTTCAATTTCGTTTAAATTCCTCACAAATTCTCCCTAATTCCCCAAAAATTCCTCAAAATCCCCTATAAATTCCCCAAATTCTCATAAATTCGGATGAATTCCTACAAATTCTCCACAAATTCCTCTAAATTCTCCACATTTTTGGCAAAGAATTCCTAGGTGGTTCGCCCCTTGAGCGAAATAGATGTTAGTAAAATATTTCACCAAAGGAAAGTTAATCTAGAAAACACATCTTTCCACTTCATCAATAGGCTGAGTAGACTAGAAAAGAGCCTCTTGGCTCGTAAGATTCAAATTTAATTTCTCGACTCTTACATGACCAATATTCCAAATCAAATCTCTTCTACAGCTATCTATTGTAAATGAGAAGAAATTAATTTTTGATGTACAAGAACATGTATGCACCCCTTGGAAAAAATGATCACCCATGGTTAACTAAAGCAGTATTTAGGGAAATACAAAGGAGAAGAGACTTGTGATATTGCACAACAATACTGAAAAAAAAAATGACCAACAGTACCAAAATCAAAATAATAAGGTCAAAAGTTGTCTCATGGCCGTTTGCACCAACCATTTTAAGGAAGCCTCAGCGATAAGTATTCCTTAAAATGATATTTTTACATGGAGTAACGTCACTTTAAGGAATACTTATCGCTAAGACTTCCTTAAAATGGTCAGTGCAAACGGCCATTAAAACAATATAAACAAAATCTGATGAACAACACCTAACAGTTCTTTTCCTACGTTAACTTCAACTCTAAACACACCCACTTTAGTATTGTCAACAAAGCAACTCTAGTCCCATTTGAATTATTGAATTTGACCAGGAGGTTGTAGTGTAGACTCTTTTGCACAGCAATTCCAGAGTCTTTTTACTAAACTCAGCCCTATAGATATTAGACCAACACTTCCCGTTGAATCCTACTCCAGAACAAAAATCAATACTATAAATTTCAATCCAGAAAAAGTAGATATTGCCATTAAGTCCAGGGACTTATTGAGATCCCTCCTATATTTTCTTAAAAATTGTTTGCACACTCTATATCTATAGTTGTGCAAATAGTTGTAATCTTAAATATGTTTCAGATGCTTTAAATTTTATTTAGATGCATATGTTTAAAAAACAACTCTGGACACTCTAAGTTTTTGGATGTTGCTCCAAGTGACTCTGAACTTACCGGAGTTCTACTGTTTGAAGACAATTTAAAGTTTATTTTTAGGACTTTATGAATATGCTTTGGAAATTGCTTCCAAAATTGGAAGTCACTCTAAGAGTCTAGATATTTTTTTTTGGAATAATTTTGGAGGATAAACCTGTTGTCTTTTAAAAATATCCACAATCAAATTCAGTTTTCTATATTATAAAACAATATGTAAAATTGAAGAATTAATTTACCTAAGACCTGGATCTGGATCTAGACTTGCTCCTGGACCCGGAAGCCTCCCTGACTGGCGACCGAGAACCCCCTCTGGAACTCTTGCTGCCAGACCTGGACCTGCTCCTACTGGCCGATCTTCTGCCCCTGGACCTAGACCTGCTGTCCCTCCTGCCGCGAGACCTAGACCTTGATAAAAATTACTCAAAATTCAAGCTCGAAAGCCTTCAAACCATCTACCTTCTTCTACCACCACGAGACCTTCTGTGGGGCGAAGTGGGCCTCCCGTAACGCGCCATCTGGACTCGCAACTCCCTGCCGTCCAACATGCGTCCGTCCATGGCGTCTAGCGCGTCTTCGGCGTCCCGTTTATCGTAGAATCTGTTGTTTAGGTTATGTGTGATTTTGGCTGGCAAAGTTTGAAAACTTACCGTACGAAAGCGAATCCTCTGCTTTCTCTTGTGAAACGATCGCGAGGGATGTAAATGTCGCCGACTTCGCCGCAACGTTCGAAAACCCTTCGCAAATCGTCCGGGGTGGTCCTGTAGGTGAGATTGTCCACCTTCAAGGATACCATTCCGTCGATACGGGGCGGAGGCCGGCCGTAGCTACTCATTTTGCTGTCGTTCGCAATGGTGATACCGTTATAGGGACAATTTATTCGAGAAAATTTATTGAATTATTCAATAGAAGATGCCACAATTATTAATTATTCAAATATTTCAAATTGAGAGAAAAATAAAATGGCGATAAGAAGGGAAAAGAGCGTCGTCATTTGACTTTTGACATTAATGACACGTAATCGGTGTTGCCAATTGCTCATAATATCTCATAATATATATATTTTGTTCAAATATTTGAAAATGGTTTGATTGAAGGTCTATTTTGTCCCAAAGTTATGTTAATTTTGATGCATAATAGAATCAGGCCTTAATTAATGCTAACAAGAAATAATTTATTTGATTCTTGATATTTTTGGGGGCACACTATAACCCACAGTGGCGACAATGCTGTCTCATTTTTGATTGGTTCTAAAATCCCATATATTTATATTGAAAACACCGCCATCTTGTTCCCAACCCCTTGTTACTTTTAAATATGAATATATGGGATTTAGGTGAACATTCATCATAAATCATGGAAAACAACGTATTTGATGGACCTAATAATGGTCATCAAATACGTCGATTTCAATTTTTTATGATAGATGTCCATTTAAATCCTATATATTAATATTTAAAAGTAACTAGAGGTTGGGAACAAGATGGCGGCGAAACCTCTATTGTCGCCACTGTATGTAAAGGTTTATTTACCGTGCGTTCGTTATTTTGGTCTGAGTTCTCCGTGCTTGACTTTACCGTTCGTTTATTCAAAAAGTGTACTCGGTGTATCCTCATTCGCGTTCGTTTATTAAAATTTCTGGCACTTTTATACAGCGTTCAACTGCTCTGTTCGTTCGCTGGTCACGTGGTTACGGCTCCGCTCTGCACGCTCTGCTCTTCGAGCAAAATACCGAACGCAAGGTGAGCCACTGTAAACCTGGTGATCCCGTAGTCAAATGTCATACTTAATACTGGAAAAATCGAAAACTGAAAACGCCGCCATCTTGTTCCCAACCTCTTGTTACTTTTAAATATGAATATATAGGATTTAGGTGAATATCCATCGTAAAACATGGAAAACAACGTATTCGATGAACCTAATAATGGTCATCAAATATGCCGATTTTAATTTTTTATGATAGATGTCTATTTAAATAGTAACAAGAGGTTGGGAACAAGATGGCGGGGGGAACTCTATTGTCGCCACTGTATGTAAAGGTTTATTTAGCCACTGTAACCGCAACATACTGCTCAAATTCGAGTGGTAGGTATCCATCACGTCACTGTGTAACCGGGTTAGAAAATGGTATGTCATTTCTCTAACCGTTTTGTAACCCGGTTACTTAAACCGGAGCCACGTGAAAAGAACTAATAGTTTTTCTAAAGACATGCGGAAATAAGTACAGTGGAAATCATTGCAATTGGCACAAACTTTTTTAACATCCCTCGTATCAAGTCAAAATTCTAACCAATAATTTTGTTTAGTGCAGTGGTGTGCATGATAATTTAGCTCCTGTCGACCCATTTTCCCTTCAAATTCATGATGTCACTATGGCGTTACTGTCATAACTTATAGGGTCAAATGCCTCTTGTCCTTTCGTAATTGTTATATAAGCATATGGTAAACTATTTTAGTTGATTTTAGCAAACAAATATTTTTTTCCTTTAACAGTTTATTAAAACTATTATGTTCACCACTGACTTATCAGTCTGACAAGATTTTGAGATTACCTGTGTGTCAAAGAAGCAAAATTTTAACACATTACGGGGGATGTTTTTAAAGTGTGTGCCAATTGCAATGACTCCCACTGTGCCTACATAATTTGTAGTAAATTATTGTTTTTTTTTTGACAGCCGTGCGGAAAAAATTTCGCCGCACCTTGCGAGAAAATCGATTTTCCGCACTGTTTAATTTTCCCCACTTTCGTAGAGAAATGTTTTGACGGCTCAAAGTAAACGATTTTGGGCGTGGCACCCGGTAATAGTATATTTCCTAACAAGTGCGAAAAGTGCCACTTTTCCGCACGCGATTGCAATCAAGTGAGGAAAAGAGACTTTCCGCACGAGTTAGGAACACTATTTTTTCTACGAGTTAGAAGGAACGTACCTACGTAATGTAAATTATTTTAACACCAATATTTGATAATATTTCTTCTTCAACACCTGGTATTAAAAACAAATCGAGTAATTTTTTCTTAATATAAATAAGGTACTTTTACAAATAAAACTCATTTATTTATTAATAAAAAAAAAAACTAATTCTGAAATAATGTGCCTTATTCTGAAGACAATAAAATCGAGAACTTTTAACAATAATTTGTACTATGAAATTTTCGAAATTTTTAAGCATAAAGTAACCATTCTATAGTAATTTCAGAAGAAAAGTTGAGTTTAAACCAAAATAATTTAATAAATAACGTTATTGTGTCAATAATTCTCAATGCTGATATTTGTGTAAGTGTGTCAGCTCATAATTTAAAAATTGACATCTGTAAAGTGAAACTTTCCAAACTAAAATGCGTGCGGAAAAGTGTACTTTTCTGCACACTCGTAGAAAAAAAAAAAGTTCGCCTCCTTGGGCTGATTACGTAGCGCTTGGTAGCGCGAAAACCAAACCGAAAATGACGTCACAATCGAAGAAATTCTACCGAATCGAACGGTTCGTTTCTTACAGAATAAGGCCCCTGGGTCCAATTATCCGCCGACCAATAAAATCAGAACGGTAAATTTATCTTGCAGATAGTTTATCTGAACAGGGTCTTAGGAAATAATTTCACATACACGGATAAAAAAAAAACCCGTTCATAAAATAAAAAACAAACCAAAATATTATTATAACAGATAAATGTATTATTACTATAATAATTATGGCCTAAAACACTACACATTTAAAACACTACACAAGTTAATCATTCATTATAATTTTGATTCGTTCAATCATAGGACAAAATTTGTGTGTGAGTCTGTGTAGCTGGTGAGCAAAACAATTATCCCTTTATAAATACACCCTCAAAAAAAACAAAAAACTACACATGGACCAGTCTTGCAATTAAAAAAAAAAAAGACAATCATTTTGGACACCCTGTACACAAAAGACTACCCTAAACTAAAATAAAAGAGATATCAAATCAAAATAAGCCCCAGATCTTCTAATAAATTAAACATGTTCTACTTTAGCAGATTTCACCGACACCTGATCCGGTTCTTGTGTGATAACATCAACATAATCATATTCAGGTTCGTCAGCCACTTTCAATTCAACCAATTCTTGGTCCTTTTTCTTCAAATACGGAGTCGATCTGGAGCAAGAAGCCTGAGGCGATTCTGGAGCAGGAGTTTCAGGATTCGGAGTCGCGGCTTCTTCAGTAGTGGCAACGGTTTCGGTTTGAGGTTCTTCAGCGTTGTCTGGGGCGTATGAGAATAGGAATCTACGAACTGGGACTTCTTGGACTACTGTGGTGGTTGTGGTGGCTGGATACGGTGGTGGTTGTTCATCCATAACATCCTAAAAGATGATCCAAATTTAGTTATTTCTTGGTTCAAAAATCCAGTTTCAGAATAATTATTGTAATGGCCTATTGGCTCTATTTTGGTCAAAAAAAAAATGGAAAAAACTTGCTTTACAATAGGATTTTTGAAGTTCTTGGCAACTTCAAAATTTATAATTTTTCGTTTTTTGTAATTGTTGTAAAGCAACTTGGATGTTAATAATGTATCTCAGAAAAGAGTTTATGATTTTTATTCCACTTTGAAATTGATAAAATTCCTAGCTCTGTAGGTTCCTGGAAAATACTTTCAGCCATCACAAGAATTTGAAATCCTGTAAAATCACCTTTCAAGGTTCCTGAAAAATAGTTTCACCCATTACAGCAACTTAAAACTTCCAGGATTAGTTAATTAGAGTTTTTTCATTATGAAAAACAAGTTGGAAGTTAATATGACAGTCACAACCGAGAGGTTTTTCACCTTGTTAATCGGTGTACAAATCACTGGTTAATATATGTCAATACCAGGTAAATACTATGCCAATAATGTCAATACTATGCAATACCTACTTGTTAATTATGTAGGTAATATATGTCAATACTTCTAGATATCTAGGCAATATATGTTAATGTCGTTGGTTGATACCCATTAATAACATGTAAATACCTGTGGATATGTCAATACCTAGAATTCTGGCAAGACAAATATTTGATTTTAGTCTGTCAATAGCATGGCAATACCTGGTAATATGTGATAATACTAGGGAAATACCTGGCAATAGGTGGAAATATTTTGTTAATACATGAAAATAGTTGTGTTATTAGGTACCATCGTCACCAAAAGTATCTGGGACAAAAATAATTTATATTAATCTCCTGGACTAATTCTACCAGCATTCATTTCAATGCATTTAAATGATAGTTTGTCAAATGTTTGACACTAAAATTCATATAATAGTATAAGTGCTAATATGATGCTGTCCCAGTTACTTTTGGTGACGATGGTACATAAAAATATCTGTTAATACATGGAAATATCTCAGTTAGTACTAATCGGTGTAAAATTTTGTTAGGTGAAAAACCCCTCAGTCACAACTGAGGTTACAAATTTCTTTACTCATTATAAAAATAAAATTCCTGTAAAATCACCTTTGGAGGTTCCTGAAAAATACTCTTCTACCCATCACAGCAACTTGAAACTTTCAGGATTTATGAATTAGAGTTTTTTCATGATACAAAACAAGTTGGAAGTTAATATGAAACTCACAACCGAAGTTACAGATTTTTTTACTCATTGATGTCTGGGAAAATCATAAAATTCCTGTAAATCACCTTTATGAGTTCCTGAAAAATACTTTGACACATCACAGCAATTTGAAACTTCCAGGAATGATTAATTAGAGTTTTTTCATGATACAAAACAAGTTGGAAGTTGATATGAAATTCAGAATCAAAGTTACCGATTTGTTTACTCATTAATACCTGGGAAAATCATGAAATTCCTGTGAAATCACCTTCACAGGTTCCTTAAAAATACTTCTACCCATCACAGCCACTTGAAACTTTCAGGATTTATGAATTAGATTTTTTTCATAATACCAAACAAGTTGGAAGTTAATATGAAACTCACAACCAAAGTTACAGATTTTTTTACTCATTGATACCTGAAAAATCAGCTTTGTAGGTCTTTGATAAATACTCTGACCCACTATGATGGGTCTTAAAACTTCCAGAATTTAAAAATTGTACCTTCTTTTCAAATATAAACTAAGTTGATGATAAGTTGCTCAATATTTCATTTCCTATTTTGATACTTAGAAAATCACAGCAGCATCCTCTCAAAACTACTATTCACTTTAATTCTGGAAAATGCTAATTTATCCAATACTATGAAAACTTAAAAAAAAAAGCTTCTAATAACTCATCTATAAAATCCTCAAGTTTCAATCTATTAACGTACATACCTGGTAAGAAGGCGGTGGAGTTTGTTTCATTGGTCCAAACAATGCAGCTTCATTATCCCTAAACATTGCAGCATAATCAGGCTCGTTTCTGTCTGTTCCCTCATTAGGCAAAATATAATGAATGGTATTATGGGTAGCTTGTTGTTTGAGGGTCAGATATTTGTAGCAACGCCAAACGACGCCAATCCAATAAGCTTTCCATACCATAGATACCAAAAAGGATACCAGCACGAGAAGTGAAAGATTTTGAGGGCTCAAAGACAGCAATTCTTGACGGAAAGGCAAGTTGTGCCAGTGTTCAGCTACAAGGCGATGCACTGAGCGTAAATAGCAAAAATATCCTGTGGCTGTCAAGCTAAAATATGGATTCAGTTTAGATCCATGTTTTTTACAAATTTTTTTGACTTACGTTGTAATGGCAAAATCGAAAAGTTGCAAAAAGAAGAACGGCAAAATTTGCTTGGGTTTGCCTTTCAAAGCTCCATAAACCATCAACAGTGTAATAGATAGAGTGCAAATTGTCATTATTGCCCCCATATCAACGTCAGCTGCAAAATAATCAATAAGAAAAAAGTATTTTATCAATTTTGAAAACATACAAGGCAAAATCGGTCTTCCATCTTGAGTTGTAGGCAAATAATATGGATTGTCGTCGTCCTTAACTTTGCTCAGGGGCGTAGGCAAAAAGTCGCTCTCTTCGAATTCGTGTTTCTGGTTGAAGTAGCTGTGATTTCGCATTACCAGGGCCAAAACGGTAAGGGCCAATACATGGAGCAACTATGTAGAATTAGATTCAATTATTAACAGATAAGCAAAATGGCATAAAAATTACTTACTAAATGCCATACCCCAAAAGCTATTGTGGCGGTTTTGACGTGGAGACACAGGCAACATCTCCACTCTGTATTGCCTGTCGTGCCTATTTTGAGACGCATGTTGAACATTACTGGAATAAAAAAAATATGTTTTTTTTTCAAGGCAAAAAAGCACGCTTGGTGATTTGAATTTAAGTGCCACTGATAAGCGACGAGAATTTCCTGTGATTATGAAGCGAGTTTTTTTATATTTAGAAAAGTGTTTGCATAAATGTTTATTTAAATTACATGGTGGTATTTTAAATTATTATTATAATGTTTGATTTGGAATTATGTATTGGGTAAACCCCAAAACATTGTACATTAATTTCTATTGTAGAATGAACAGTATCTTTGCTACTGTTTAATCTTTACATAGTCATTTAAAATTTTTGGAAAAATTTATGACTGATGTTTAACAATAATCCTAATTTCTTCTGTAAATTCCTTTGTGGAGGTCTAAAGTATGAAACAGAAATAAATGATTTACTAATTTCTGAATGCAACACTGCCAAAATAATAGAAAGTTTAAGTACATGGTATTCCAGACTAGTACATATCAGAATGTAACCTATGTTAGACAGTTTTTGAAAAGAAACCATATTGATTTTATTGAAGAAAATTTTGTGTGCCAACAATGTTTAACAGGCAAGCAACACCCATTGCTTTCTGAATAAAGCAAATCAAGAGCAAGTAAACCTTTGGAGGTAATGCATAGTGATGTATGTGGTTCTATAGAGCAGGAATCTTTAGGCAGAGCTCGTTGTTTTTTTAATGCTGAAAGATGTTTACTCAAGCTACAGATATGTGTAATTCATGAAACAGAAATCGGAAGTGAAGAAAAACATAGAAACTTTCATTTATTTAGCAGAGAGAGAAACGGGACACACAATGAAAATTTTGGCTTGAAATTTCTGAATAAAAAGATGAAAGAATTATTAGTTATTATTATTAATTATCAACAACTTCAAACCCAGGAAAGACCACTTGCTACCCAAGTTAGTACATGAAGGACACACTGTGCAGAACTCACAGGATGTTGCCAACTTGCTAATCCAATACTTTTCCGGAATTGTTGCAGAACTAGCAAAAAACATCCACCCAACAATTTTTTCCCCTCAACTCCAACCAACTTTTACTGCAGTTATAAACAAATTAAAACCAGAAAAATCACCTGGAACTGACAGCTTGGGCATTGTTACAATCAAGGAATTGAAAAATGAAATAGCACCTACTTTATGTAAGTTGATAAATCTTGTTTTCAATACTGCATCTGTACCAAGTTTGTTAAAAATGGTAAAGGTTGTCTCTTTATTTAAGGGTGGTGATAGCACAGAACTAAACAACTACAGGCCCATTTAAATATGAGATGAACCAGTTATTTGGATGGAATAAATTTTTGGTATGCGGGTCAATATGGATTCAGAAAACACAACAATACCTCCTCAGCAACTACAAACCTAGTTACAAATATCTATGAAAAGGTTGATAAGAGATATAAGTGTGTACTTGTCTCGTTGGACTTAAGAAAAGCTTTTGACACAATAAATCACAAAATTCCCGTGGAGATGCTTGAAAAAACTGGTATTGGAGGTTCAGCACTACTGTGGTTTAGGGACTATCTATAGGGCAGACTATAGTATGTTGAATGTGAAAGTTAAGAGTGTAAAATGGAAAACATTGCACACGAAGTGTTATTCTGCTGGGATCGATATTCTTCCTAGTTTACATGAACTCACTGTCATACATACCTCCTCAGGGCTCTCTCAATTTATATGCAGATGATACTTGCATCACTTATTTTGACAAGGACCCTAAAAACTTAAAAATCATCATTGAAAAAGACTTAAAGAAAATAATTAATTGGCTCTGTTACCACAAACTTAGTTTAAATGTGAAAAAATCAAGCTATATGGTAATATCAAAGTTTGAGTCCTGGCCTGACTTCACAATAAACTTTCAAGGCCTCCCATTGACTGATGCAGACTGCATCAAATACCTGGGATTTTTTATATTATCCGAATGGCATCCTGAACATTCACTCCCTGTATATCTTGCAATTCTGCATCTTTATCCATTCTTGCAAGACTTCCAATATTCACTCTACAATAAATCTCATCCCAGCCAACACAATCATTCACTACACTACCAGACTCAATGAAAACTTAAGAACGTCGGCAATGAACACTACAACTGACCAACACAGCATCTTATCAGAAGGACAATCGAATTTCAGAATCCTTTAAAAGATTGAACATAACTTGTATCAAGTGTAAGCTGAAGCAGCTAATTTTCGATGGATACTTTGGGACTGTACAATGAAAGACTTTATCTGCAATTTAGAACTAATATATTCATAAATGCAACAACTTTGTGATACAGTACCTACTTGTAGAACTGGATATTTTCTCTTAATGTTATATATGATACTGAATGACCTGCATAGCTTTCAAGCTCAGAGTCTCTATATCTAATGTTTAACTATCATATTGAAATAAAGAAAAAAAAAAAAGAATCAAAAGGTATCTGTCATCCCTAGTGGAACAGCTTGTACCGTGATTCAAGGACATAAAATAGAAACATTTTTGAGCAGAGGCTGTTAACAATGCAACATACTTATTGAATCAAACAGGAACAAGCTCAGAGAAAAATAAGACTCTATAAATTATGGTTTCAAAAAGAAGTAAATGTGAATAATTTTGAAAGTTTTGGTTCAAAAGTTTCTGTTCATATACCCAAGGAGAAAATATTGAAGTGGGATGCTAAAAATACTTTGGGAATTATTCTGGGATATGGTGAAGACATGAAAGGGAATAGGATTTATATACCAGAACAAAATAAAGTAGAATTCTATCGAGATGTTATATTCTTATCAGAAAATACCATTGAAGTAAAGAAAGAAAACGAATGATGATAAGATATACATATCAAATGAGACTGTGAACATTATCAAAGATGAGACAGAAGACAATAATCACATAAAAAGAGAAAGAAATTGGGAAGAAAATTATGGAAGTGACAGCAGTAGGTATCTATACTTTATTTTTTTCCAAGATAGATTTTGACATTGAAAACTTTGAAACATAAACAATAACGCCTGACCCTGATTGGTCGCAAAATGAGGTGTTTCTGCAGGTTGACATCAGTTTTACAATAGCGGCCAAAAAGTGGCATTGTTTATGTTTCAAAGTTGACAATGTCAAAATCTATCTTGGAAAAAAATAAAGTATAGTTCATATGAAGATTGCAATAGTACATACAACTTGAGAAGAGAGATAAAGACCATCAATGATTATGGAGTTTCTGAACATTCTCTGATGATGAACCATTAACTTATGATGATGCAATGGCTAGTAGTGACTCGAAATAGCTATTTATACAATAAGTTACGAAATGAGCGAACATCGTTTCGTAACGTATTGTATACAAGATTTTTTCTACTGGCATTTTATAATAAAATAACACAATTTTATTTCATGTGAATAAGTCGATTACATCCAAAATCTTTGTTACCTGCTTTTACTTGACACCTGTCACTTTTCATGCGATTTTCTTTTCAAAATTCGACATAAATAATTAAAATCCTAGAAAGTTGGTAATAACACAAAGTTCTGTTTTGAGTAACCCAAACGTTCAATTCAGTAATTCCATTTTCAATATTCATAATAAATACAAAACAAAATTCAAATATGTGTTTAGTGTGTTTTTTATTTCTGAATAATGAATGACACTTTTATGCACTAGTGCTTAAAAATTACTTTTACGCACTCATAAGTCACTTTTACGCATTAAAAAGTCACTTTTACGCACTGAGTGCCTAAAAGTAACTTTCACGCACTCAGTGCCTAAAAGAATGTCGTTTCAAAACTGAAATGACAATCGAAAAGTTGCTATTATGAAACGTCAGTAGAAAAAATAATAAAGAAGCTGTGAATACCAATGACCTATTAACACAGATAGACATCCCATTGATAAAATAGCTTTGTTTTGGTTGACTACATGTTTATGGGCCAGGGGGGGTGAGCTGTGAGAGCGGCTAGGAGTAGGGATTCAAATGATTCTGCTAACTCTGCCTCCATTTTAGTATCGCATACTTGGCAACTCTGAAAATGAAACCAGAATCAGTGCTACAAAAGTGTATCTTTATCCTTATATTTTACATAATTTTAGAAAAAGATGCGGATACACTCACTGCGCACTGATTGACAAATGGAAATTGTCATAAAATACCTGCAGGTCACATTTTGACATGACAATTGAATAGAAGCCGCTGATTGGTGGAAAGGTGGAATTCGAGGTGGGATTTATTTTTTTGCAGCATTGCTAATTTCCATTGAAAAATAAACGCTTTCCACGTTTTAGAGAAAGATACAAAATAACACAAGGATTAATAAGTAGTGAGGAGAGATGCTGTTCCTGGCATGTAGTCAACTGATATTATTTATTTTTATTTTTATTTTATTGATTCTCTTTACAAACACCAATAAATGGTAATTACATGTGAAGGTAATAAATACTAAGCAATACAATCTACAATCTACATATCAATATAATTAAAAACATAATTCAAGAGAAAAACAAAAAAAAAGAACAATTACAACTACAACAACAGACTACGAAGCACCAGCCTCAACTGTACCTCCGAGATACTGAAAATATCAAAATCCATGGTTTCAACAATACTGTTACACATCTGGAGCATGTTATTAAAAGGCGATACACTACCATAATTAATTGCGAACAGTTTACGATTCAATTGCGTTAAATAAATCTTAGGAACATTAAAGTTTATAAAGTTAATTAACATACAGTTTTTGTATTTGATGTTCTTAACAATACAGAATACAAACATCACAGCTTGTATGTTTCGTCTGTCTTCTAATCTAACAAGTTTAAAGCTATCTAGCATAGATCTGTATGAGACCATATAAGGGTATGCATTATTCATTCTCACATATAAGTAACGCAAGAACCTTTTCTGAACTTTTTCAATTTGATTAATATGAGTTGTTGTTGATGGCATCCATATTTGTAATGCATATTCCAAATGTGGCCTCACCAGAGCATTATAGAGCCTGACAATTACGCTTATCTGGAAATTTCTACTATTTCTGATTACAAACCCCAATGACCTAAAGGCCTTTCTTACAATATGGTTGAAATGGGTATTGAACTTCATGTTAGTCTGAAAATACACTCCCAGGTCCCTAACTTCATTATTACGACTAATTTTTTCTTCACCTATATAATAGTTAACAATAGACACATCAATCTTTCTAGTAAAGGTAACTGCTGTACATTTTTTGCTATTCAACGACATTTTATTCAATTGAAACCAATCAATCACTCTCCTCAAATCAGACTTTAGTTGCTGGTGATCTTCAGGAGTGTAAATAATCTTAAAGAGTTTAAAATCATCCGCAAACATAAGGCAATTTGAGTGTCTGACCACATCTGGCAGCGTGTTGATAAAAATTAGGAACAATAAGGGACCTAAATTGCTACCCTGTGGTACTCCAGATGTGGCTATGTAAGGGTCAGAGACACACTTACCAATTTTCACTCTTTGTTCGCGGTCATCTAGATATGATTTCATAAGAAGACATGCATCACCCGATAGACCACAATCAACCAGCCTGCGCAGAAGAATTGAGTGGCTTACCTTATCAAAAGCCTTTTCGCAGTCAGTATAGACTACATCCAGTTGGGCTTTATCATCAAACGCCTTTGCTGAACATTCAGAAAATAATAATAAGTTTGTGACAGTTGATCTGTCAGGTAAAAATCCATGCTGCTGTATAGCTATTTGATGACTTACATGAATATATAATTGGTTGTATAAGATCTTTTCGAAAATTTTTGCAGCCACATTAATGAGACTAATGGGGCGATAGCTTCTGACATCATTTGTCAGCCCAGTTTTAAATAATGGTGACACTAAAGCTTTTTTGAATATGGCTGGAAATTCTTTTTGTTTCAATGATAAGTTAAAAATATGAGTCAGGGGTTTTTTAAAATAATCAACCATACCCTTATAAATATATGCTGGAATGTTATCAGTTCCAGTCGTTTTCTTTGGTTTCAATTACTTTATACTATCGTACACTTCTTTCTCAGATATACTAGAGAAATTAAACAAACTAAATAAATTATCACAGCCATTCTGAAAAAATTGACTAGAATCCTGTTCTTCAAAAACGGATTTAAAATAATGAGCAAAGGCATTAGCTATATCATGGGCATTTGAGTGAAGATTACCATCATATATCATATTTCCAGGCACTCCTCCAGGACTTGATTTGTTTTTAACAAAACTCCAGAACTCCAGAATTATTGTTTATTGTTCTGTCTATCTGTGTTAATAGGTCATGGCCAAGGTTCCTAAAGTTTATAGGTTGTCTGGTAATGGGTAACTTGATGATGCATCTGGGGTGCCTTATGGAGTTTTGCATTATGTTTGAGGCATACAGATGACGTCATAAAGTTATCAGGCAACCTACCTCTCTTGAACAACATGCAAATGGGTATTTAAAAGAAGAAGAAAGACGAAGGTGGTAATGTAGCAGATTATAAAGCAAGGCTTATGGACAACAGTGGCGGCTCGTCGTATAAAGCAACTGAGGCCGGGCCTCACATGTAAAAATTACAATAATGATGTAAAATTTTGAAATAATATTTATTAAATATTTAACGTTTTTTAACTATTTTCAATCATTAAAAGAAACAAAACATCGAATTTTCAATAAAATATACCTATTTAATACTATTTCTTGAATTTAGCGCGCGCTTCTACCTATTTTTTATCCTTATAGGCACTCAAATCGTTGCCGGACAGCATTAAAATAAAATAGCAATCCCAAAAATTTTGGCCTCATGTGCGTCACAGAACGCCGAAGCGATGCCACGGCACTCCCCACCACAACCCTTCAACTGTAGGTGAGACGATAGCGAATTTTTATAGGCATTGAGGCGCACAATTTTGGGCTTGTTAATAAGAAACATGCAGACTTTGCTTGCATCTCTTGCTGCTGCGACAAGTATTTAATTGGTTAATTGGCTCATACTTTTTATTTTGGTCTGTTGCGGGTTAAAAAACTGTTTTTTGGAATTTATATTGTTAATTTGAAACTCAATATTTGTATTAAAATAAGAATTATGTACCTACTGCTGTTGTTTTGCAACTGTGAGAAATGAAAATTTTCATTAGAAATATACAAAAAAAATATCCGAGATGTTCTTTTAATGAAATTTTGGGTCAAAATTTGGGCGTATAACACTTGAATATTGTGTTTGGGTTTGTTTGGGTTAACTTGATGGGCCATGGGCTAAGCATGGGCCTCACTAGTTTGGATTGTCACGAGCCGCCACTGATGGACAAAGGTTTTCAACAATTATCAACAATATTTATAGTCCAGTCGCGAGTGAGAACATTATTACTGGTTTTCTAGATTCAGACTGGGCAGATGAATGCATTGACCAAAAGTCCACCTCAGGAAGTTTTTAATTGTACAGTTCCTTGGGCTTTTCAGGCTTAACAGTGAACAATTCTACAAATTAAATGAACACATTTGTCATAATCAAAAAATAAATTTGTCATTGGACCTCTTAAGCCCCTCAAATAGATTGTAAATTGGCGAATTATAAGGGGGTATGTATCTGTAAGTTTGAGAGGGTGCCGGGTGGTATAGTATGCCACAACAGTTAGGCCACATTAGGCCCATAAGGAGAAATGTATTATGTACCTAAATGGATAAATAGTGAAGAATAGATGCAAAATACAAGGGGAAATGTATTTTGCATCTATTCTCAATTATTTCACCATTTAAAAAATTACCTAAATAATTGTAATTTTGCATTTTAAAATAACTATTACCAGTAAGTATCCACCCAATAATGAACTGATTGACTATAATATAAAATGTTTGTTGCTGCACTCCACTTCAAGGATATCAAGGTATTGTGTACTTATTTAATTGTGTAAATTCAATTTCCATATTCAATTATTTGGTCAAGAAAATTCTGTTTTCATTGTTATTTAACAGTTAATAACAGATAATTGCGGTTTGTAGGTTTGCATTATTAACATCAGTAATTTTTCCAATAATAATATTTGCTTCAAGCCGCAGATATTTACAAGAGGAAACATTTTAAAAGCTACAATAGATTCAAATACCATTATAGCAAAGGGTAATTACCAACTTGATTGGTTGTTTGAATACTTACTACTATGACCTTATGTAGATTTTCATGTCTTATGTCCTGTATAATAAATATTTTATGATTTTTGCACTTCTATCTAGAAATAGATTAATGTCCAAATAAACAATAAAAGAACCTTATCAACTAAATAATTATTATTGCATAAATATTTGGTTTGATGGGGAATTGGGGAGCTCAAGCCTGCACATGTGGCACTAATTTAAGATTATTTTATACTGGAAATTCATCAATAAATGTATTTTAACTACTTACGTGGTCAATTATTGGAGGAAAACCACTATTTTCAATGACTTTTCTTGTACTTGCAATGCAAAATGAAATTTTCCTCTAGGCCAACGCCAATGTCAAAAAAGAAATCGATTACCAACTGCAAAAAAAAAAAAAAACAACCACTTTATGTCGGTCTTTGTCATTTGCTATGTACTAAACAAAGACAAATATATTACATGTGAAAAAAAGATAGTACTAATTGTCAAAATCAGATGTTGTCATTCATTATGATTCATTCATAAGAAAAAAATACAAATAAAAAAAACATCAAATTTTCGCCCCTTTAAAAAATTCTACTTCATACATTACAAAATAACTAAATTATTATTAAAATATTCAGACAATGTTTCGGTCCACTGCAGGCTTTGATAAACTTCTAGGTAAATATATTTGTATTAATAATTATTATTATTGTAAATGATTCCCTTTTTCTGTAGATAAAGCTACGAGTCATCTATTGATGGAACCAGATTGGCCTTCCATCCTGCAAATTTGCGATTTGATAAGGCAAAACGATATACAGTGAGTTGGTTTTTGTTCTTTTTGAGTCCTTTTGCATTTGAAGTTGAATTATTTCAGGCCAAAAGTTGCTCTGGCTGCAGTTAAGAAGAAACTGGTCGCTCCCAATCCTCATTCTGCTTTGTACGCCTTGCTGTGTCTCGAGAGTATGGTAAAAAATTGTGGTGAGTAGTACAGATGATTATTTGGGATCCTCCAAACATCATACACTGAATTATTTCGAAATTTCAAGCCGGAATCTTAAAAAAAAGTCAGGAAAATTGAAAAATTGATCCCAAATTGCTTAACGCCATTTTATTTCTGCAACTATGTCCAAATGAGCTGAAGGGTGTAAAACTCTTTAGTACAACAAAAATTAACAAATTTTCTATAAAAATTAGTTGATATATCCTTTATACGGTTGGTTTTGTATCAATTTAAGTGCGGATATTGACGTTTTTTGCCGTAGTAAGCGAATATTCACATTCACAATTACTTACATATAACCAGTAGATATTAAATCAGTAGATATTGAACAAACTGTAACTCAAACTAACCAAAAGTATGCAAACTAACCCAAACTAACCTGTCCACGTAATGCGTGCGAGTCCTTGTATGTTGATATTGAATTAAAAGGTAATTTTTGGGCTCTCGGGAACGGGCTATAAGGCGTTTTCTGATCAAGTTCTTTTTTGGTACACATATACCGGGTGTTTTTCAAAACCCACTCACCCCTATAGATTGTAGATTGTAGATCAAAAAGGAAATCGTGGAGACAATTCTGCGAGGGGATTGACGAATTAGCCCCAGCTCAACGTCTCCAAAAAGTTCTTTCAAAAAACCACTCAAACGGAATTGGTCTGCTTAAAAAGCCAAACGGAGAACACTGTACCGACCATATAGAAAGTCTAGAGCAGCGGTTCCCAACCGGTGGGTCGCGACCCCTAAGGGGGTCGCATAGGGTTTTTGGAGGGGTCGCAATGCCAATATTAATATACAGGGTGGTCCATTTAGCCTGAGACAGTCTAATATGTCGGAAACGGCGCGTTTAAAAAAAAGAGTTCAAATAAAAGTTGAAAGAGTCAAAAATCATTGCTATCATTTTCTTTTCCCCGTGACACCATAGCTTCTATTTGTTTTTTTTTCAAAAACGCGTCGTTTTCGAGATAGATTATCGCAAGTTAAATGGACCACCGTGTATATTTTTCTGCATTTGGCAACACGCCTTGGCCTTCACCTCAAAAGCCGCGTGGCGTTGCTTGGGCGCTGGGCGCTGCAGTAGTAAGGAACCTTAGCCTCGTTAGATGTTGCTGACGTTCCTAATGAAGTACAGGATCAATTTTTAGAGCTGAGAAATGATCCCACATAGGGTTGTGCCGTTTGAAATTTTCAAATGAAATTTTCATGTTTGAAATATTCAAATGTGAAATTTTTAATTTGAAATTTCCCAAACTTTGTAGAAAATTTCATATGTTTCACTAAAAATTTCATATGTTTCACTGGAAATTTCATAAATTTCATCGAAATTTTCAAAAATTGTACATGTTTCGTCGGGAAATACCAGGAGTTATTGGCAATAATAGCAACCTATGATAGCAACGCCGTAACTCGCAATGCTGCTCACTGGTTGTATAATGTATTGCTGGTTGTCTTGTTTTGGATTGTTGAAATCTTTGAATCTTAATCCAGCTAAGGTTGGAATGACGAAACAAATTTCCAAGGCAGGTGAATTTCATGTTGGAAGCCTAAACTTATGATAAATACAGTTAAACCAAAAAACTATATTTGGAGCTACTCCACTCAGCTGAATACGAAATAAATAACAGAAAGGTAGAATGTGTTATTTCTACGAGCGTGCAGGAAATGGCTCTTTCCGCAATATTTGCTGTGCGGGCAGACTTTCTTCCCGCACTGGGAGTTTGAAATAATCCCTTTGACGTCGAATTGTTTGTATTGTTGATACACCTTTACCTTTACCTTTTTTTTATAAATACTGTTCAATCCAATATCAATGATCTTTCAATACATTTATAAATTTACCTTCTCCACCATTGCATTTTATTTAAATTACATTTTTCGTAACATCACCTTTAGTACGCTTGTAGAAAAAATATAGTTCCTAAAGCTTGCGGGAAGAAATTTTCGGCACTTGGGCGCTTCGCATCACAGATTCTTCGCACACTCGTGTCGGAAATTTCTCCTCCCGCACTTATTAGGAAAATAGCTATTGTTTATTTTTACATTCGACACTTAAGCCGAAGCCCGAATAAAATGTCTGAAGAATGTCCAACCATTGTACTTATTTATTATTGTATTTACCCTACCACCACCTCATAAACACAATACTAAAACTAATATGTAAAGTCACGTAGTCATGTCACATTGTGATATCACAATTGAATTGTGTTGAAAATTTCATGATATTTTGGAAATTTTCAGAAAAATTCAGAAATTTTGAAAATTTCACGGAAACTTAAAAAATTTCTATATTTCCATGAAAATTTCAGAGTGAAATTTCCAGATGAAGTGAAAAGTGAAATTTACCCAACCCTAATCCCACAGCACCGGCCCTATTTCAGCAGAACTTCTTGAATTAATTTTAATGTGCCATGCATAGTTCATATCCTTATGTCGACCTCCTTGAGCTTTCTTTTCGGATACTAATACCATTTGCCTCTACCTACCTTCGTGAAAGTGGGGTTTTCAACCCTTTTGTGAATTAGAACAAAGGCCAGAAATAGACTGGGTGTTTAAGATGATAAGATTGGCTTTAACAAAAACTCAACCAAGAATTTCGAGAGTTGTTACGGGGATGCAAGCTCAGTCATCACATTAACAAAATAAAAATTCAATTTTTGTATTTAGATTTCTCGAATAAATGAAATTTTGTTTTTTATTTATTAATAGGTAGGGGGGTCGCGACCTTATGAACAAATCTGTAAAAGGGTCGTGACTAAAAAAAGGTCTAGAGGTACTACTACAAACTCACTTTCCAGGTTCGGTAATCGTTGAAGCCCTGAACCAGATCACTCCGCCTATCGAAGGGCCACAAAGCCCTAACGGCAGGAGCAAAAGCCTGGCTGGGAAAATCTTCACAATGAACAGAATAAAATGGGCGATCGATAGCTTCAGACCCTACAAATCTCCAGGCAAAGACAGGATTTTTCCCGCACAACTGCAAAAAGGCTACGAGTACTTAAAGGTACACCTACAAAAGCTCTTTAAGGCAAGCCTGCTCCTAGGGCACATACCGCTATCTTGGAGGGAAGCTAATGTGATATTCATACCAAAAACGGGTCGCCGACCCGAGGACGAACCAAAATCATATCGTCCCATTAGTCTAACCGCCTTTCTCCTTAAGACAATGGAGAAAGCAATCGACCAGTACATCAGAAGCGAAACTCTATTGAGAAGACCGCTCTACTCGAAGCAATTTGCCTATCAGCCAGGCAAATCCACAATAAATGCTTTACACTGCCTGGTTAAAGACATTGAAAAGACAATCGAGTGCAAAGAGATCGCTCTCACAGCTTTCATCGACATAGAGGGTGTCTTTGACAACACCTCACATCAATCAATCGCCAGAGCATTACAAGAATGGGATGTTGAAGTTCCAATTGTAAAATGGATAGAGTCGATGCTGAAGCACCGTCACGTTACGGCTGAAATAAACGGAGCATCAGCTACCGCTACCACGGTCAGAGGGTGTCCTCAAGGGGGTGTTCTTTCTCCGCTACTATGGACACTGGTGGTAGACAAAATTCTCACCAGACTGAGTAGTGCTGGATACCATGTCATAGGTTACGCAGATGACCTAGCCATTGTAATCAAGGGCAAGCATGAAGGTATAGTGACAAGCCGAATGCAAAGTGCCCTAAACATCGTGTTAAAAATTGGAGCGAAGGACTATCCCTAAATGCAAACAAAACAATCCTTGTCCCGTTCACAAGAAGAAGGAAGCTAAATTTGAAAGCCCCGACCCTTAACGGTACACAACTAACATTTTCCAACGAAGTGAAGTACTTAGGGGTCACCCTGGACCAAACCCTCACTTGGAACAAACAGTTAGAGAAAACATGCTCTCGAGCTACATCAGCCATTTGGTCATGCCGAAGACTTGTTGGCAAAACATGGGGGCTAAAGCCAAAGATGGTATTCTGGATCTACCAAACCATAATAAAGCCCATGGTCACATACGCCTCATTGGTGTGGTGGCCCACAAGTCACCGTTCAGATTAAGCTAAGAAAGGTGCAAAGGCTGATATGTCTAGGAATAACGGGAGCAATGTCAACTTGCCCCACCGCAGCCCCAGAGACGCTACTCAACATGCCCCCACTTCACCTATGTGTGAAAAAGGAGGCAATAACCAGCGCTCTCAGGCTATTCCAAATAGACAAGTTCAAGCCTGGCGATCTGAGGGGACATCTGAAAATCCTTGACCTAATAACACTGGAGAATGCCAGCAAACCAAGTGACCACATGATGGTCAGATTGGACTTAGAGATCCGCTTCGCAGTGGTAATAAACGACCGCCAATCATGGGAGAATAAAGAACTACCACAAGCAGACAATGCATCTCTGTGGTACACAGATGGATCCAAGCTAATGGTAGGAGCTGGACTGGGCATTTCCGGCCCTAACTTCAAGCTCTCCAAGGCATTGGGTAAACATCTTACAATATTTCAAGCTGAACTGCTTGCCATAGATATATGTGCACAAGAGTGTCTTAACCAAAGCCTCAAAAGAAAACACATCTTCATACTATCGGACAGCCAAGCTGCCTTAAAAGCCTTGAGCGCTTTCAAATGCACGTCAAAACTAGTCTGGGAGTGTAAACAGACCCTAAAAACACTAGCTACACATAACCAGGTAACGCTGATGTGGCTGCCTGGTCATCGAGGCATAGAAGGAAACGAAGAGGCAGATGGCCTCGCAAAGGAAGGGGCCTCAACACCATACCATGGACCAGAGCCCTACTGTGGCTTAATGAAAAGCCACATCATGGCAGAACTCAACAAATGGGAGAAAGACCAACTGTCATCATATTGGAGGCACACACCAGGACTCAGACAGTCAAAAAGGTTTATTACCCTTTCAGCAAAAAGAGCTGAACAGCTCCTAAGCATGAGCAGACCAGACATCAGATTGGTGGTGGGACTGCTCACAGGACACTGCCCAGTAAAATACCATTTAACGTTAATGGACAGAGCAGAAGACGATCTCTGCAGATTCTGCTCAGACGCAATAGAAACCGCAGAGCACCTGCTCTGCGAATGTCCAGCCCAATTCTGCAAGAGGCTCAAATTCCTCGAGGGGGCAACACTGTCACCAGAAGAAGTGGGCCAACTGACACCCAGGAAAATAGCTTCCTTCGGCAGAAGTCTACGCTTCCTGGAGACAAATTAAGATGTAGAGTCACGCACAAAATATCTGCAAAGGTAGCAGTGCTGAGTGGCTGAAAAGCCGAAACGACTCCCCCGAAATCTACAATCTACTCCGCTCACCCCTATAACTTTTTCATTTTTAAAAATAAACAAATGAAATTTTGTATGCTTATTTATGACCCGAAAGTGCATTATTTGACGTATTCAATTATTTTCTATCACTTCCGGTTCGACCGGAAGTGACCCTAACTTTCTTATTTTAAATGAGACGCCAGGTATATTTTCTTTTATTTCAAAGGAAAACTACATTACGAGTACAATGACACCTCATTTGTCACTTTTTGACATTTCATCTTCAAATTATTTAAATTTTTATTTTTTAATCTAGAGCGCCATGAATTAGTTAAAATGCTTAATTTTGCTTCAAGGAACCTAGGAAAATTTGTTTTGATCTTATTTTGTATTTTATATCCTCTACAGACTCAATAAAAAATAATAGAAGTGCATTTTGATAATTATCTCAATTTTTTCAAATGGAAAGGGTATGGCTCATCACAATATTCCAAAAGAGCGTTTTCTAACGAGCAATTCAGTACCACACAAACTAGTGATTGTGTGGTACTAAATTGTTCGTTAAAAAATGCTCCGTCGGAATATGCTAATGAGCCATACCCTTTCCATTTGAAAAAATTGATATAATTCCAAAAATGCGCTTCTACTATCTTTAAATGAGTCTGTTGATGATATAAAATACAAAATAAGATCAAAACAAATTTTTTCAGGTTCCTTGGAACAGAATTAAGCATTTTAACTAATTCGTGGCGCTCTAGATTAAAAAGTAAAAATTTAAATAATTTGGAGATGAAATGTCAAAAAGTGACAAATGAGGTGTCATTGTACTCGTAATGTAGTTTTCTATTGAAATAAGAGAAAATATATATGACGTCTCATTTAAAATAAGAAAGTTAGGGTCACTTCCGGTCAAACCGGAAATGATAAAAAATAATTGAATAGGTCAAATAATGCACTTTCGGGTCATAAATAAGCATACCAAATTTCATTTGTTTATTTTTAAAAATGAAAAAGTTATAGGGGTGAGCGGCTTTTGAAATACACCCGGTATAGGACGTCAAAAGAAATTTTTCCAAAAAAAAATTGACCTTGACTGTGACCTTGATCCTGACCTTGACTATCAAATTCACGTAAATGGCAGTTTAACGTGCTGAAAACTTGTATAGTGTTGAAAGGCATCTCAAGTAACCTATATACCGAGTTTTAGCCTTCAAGGTCATACACATTCAGAGATACGGCAACTCCGCATTTTCAGTTTGGGCTCTCGGGAACAGGGTAGAAGGCGTAGTCCGATTGAGTTCATTTTTGGTATACATATTTAGGCCGTAACAGGTAACAGTTCAGTAAAGATCCTTCAAAAAAAATATCATGCTTCTTCATTATAGATAGTTTAGTTTGATCCCAAAATATTGTTTTATGATCGAAAATGTTGGCGCAAATAACTATAAATTGGATTTTATAAATATTGAATGAATCCTCTTCTCGACCTTTGACACAGATCAATATATAATATCTATTCTTATCAGCTTAATATCACAATCGCTCTGTTTAGCAGATAAAAATTTAATAAACGTAAAAAGCATCATGTGATAGATATTCGAATGAAGAGAAGAGCTAAGTGTTCAAACCATTTTTGAAAAAAACATTATTGAGTAATGATAAAGCGTATAATATCTACTGAACTTTTGAAATGGTACACTTTAACCGACAATAACTGTGCTATATCATAACTGAACAAAAATATGCAAACTAACCCGAACTTACCCGTCTTTGTACTGCGTGCTAGTCCCCGTAAACCTATCTAATCGAGAATTACAAAATAATGCAAAACAACCCAACTTAACCCATTCTTGAAATGCATGCTAGTATCCTTGAACATTTTTATATTATCTAGCTTGTCGCGCTTGGTTGTCGTTGTTAATCAGTACAATGTATCCAGTTTTAGATAAGTAATTAATATTTAATATCATGATGTTTCCTATCAAAAGTGTCCAAATTGGCCCACCCTGTACATAATTTCAGCACCATAAATAGATATTTACGTGAATTTCACTGGTTAAGGTCACGGTCAAGTTCACGGCCAACGGCCCAGGTCAATTTTTTTTTTGGGGAAATTTCTTTCAGCGGCCTTTATATGTATACCAAAAATGAACTCGATTGGACTACGCCTTCTAGCCCATTCCCGAGAGCCCAAACTGAGAATGCGGGGTTGCCGTATCTCTGAATATGTGGGTTATTTATGATGCTCTTCGGCGCTATACATAATTTCTGTACGATAAATTGATATTTATGTGAATTTCACTGGTCAAGGTCACGGTCAAGGTCGCGGTTAAGGTCAATTTTTTCTTGGGAAAATTTCTTTCAGCGGCCTTTATATGTAAACCAAAAATGAACTCAATCGGAGTATGCGTTCTACCCTGTTCCCGAGAGCCCTAATCATACCAATTTAAAAAACAAAGCCCGCTTCGCGCGCTGTGTTCTCAATCAGTACACTTATAACCAGTAGATACGAACTGTAACCAAAACTAACCAAAAATATGCAAACTAACCCAAGCTAACCCGTCCACGTAATGCGTACTAGTCCTATGCAAACTAACCCAAACTAACACACCTTTAAATTGAACCACTTTAATTTATAGATTTTTCTTGAAACTAATATAATCCGCATATTTTTATATTGAAATCGGTCCAAAAAGGCTAACTACAACATTAGGAATGCATCTTATAAGAAACTACGTGTTGCACTAAAGCGTTTCACCACCGAGCTGAAATTTTCAGAGATTGTAGTCCTCTACTGGGATAAGAATCGCTGAAAATTTCAGCTTTCTATCTTTAATAGAAAAAAGTTATGACCTTTCAAAGTTTTCCACAATCTAAATCATAAGGTAGTTTTTTTTGTTGAGATTTTGTGTCTTAATGGCCATTTGGGATCCCCCAAGCTCCATACACTAAACTATTCTCAGATTTGAAGCCGAAATCTATGAGAAAAGGCACTCAAAAAAATTGAAAAATTCATAAATCACCCCAGAAACTATAGGTGCAAATGAGCTGAAATGTTCAGGGATTGTAGCCCCTTGATTGGGATAAAATTCAGTGAAAGATTCAGCTTTCTATCTATAATAGAAAAAAAGTTATGACCTTTCAAACTTTTCCAAAAAAATCATAAAGGAGGTATGGTTTTTTAAGTTATATTTAGGATGACGTCATAGAACAAAAAGAGACAATGTTGTCAATGCCTATATTTTTTCTTTTAATTTATCAGAATGTCACGTGATAGTAGACCTATCTATTTTACCAACCAAAGAGGTAATAATACGAAAACTTCATTAGATAAAAAAAGACACAGAACGCTCATTGCGCAAGACGAGGCAAAATGTACCAAATTTTGTTAAACTTACGTATGGCAATCCATCCTCCTTATTTGCACGGGATAAAAAGAGAAGAAGAAAAACCGCGTGTTTTGCAACGTATATTTATCAATGAAAATTTCAAACTTCTTTTGAGTGTCACTTGTCAAGCTATGTCAAGTTGAATATCAACCGTACTTTTATTTTTGTCAGACCACGAGCACGAGCAATGAACAAGGACAAGGAGATGTCCAGCGTGCAAAACGAAGACTTCAAACCTGTACTAGTTAGCTAATAAAAAGACTTGCCTCATGTTGCGCGCGCATAGCAGGTAAAAATAGATAGGTCTTTTCTGTCAAACGAAACGGAAAATAGGTAATTTACTTACATGCCTCACGGCAATACAATTTAAAACTGTCATTGCTTTCAAATTTTCTATGTAGAAAAGGCTTGTGTTGCCAACATAGTTACTAAATTTTTGACTTGGGGAATTATCTTTAAAAAAAAAACAGACTTTACTTTAAATACGTTGAAAAGTACTTTTATTTTTGTTAGGTTGGCAGCAGAAATTTACTAAATGTGACGTCATCCTAAATATAACGTAAAAAGCCATACCTTCTTACTAAAACGATAAAATAAAAAATAAAAAATTGTCGAGATTTTGTGTCTTAATGGTCCCTCGTGAAACCCTGAACTTCATACACTTAATTATTCTCAGATTTGAAGCCGAAATCTAGGAAAAAAGGCACTCAGAAAAATTGAAAAATTGATAAATCACCCCAAATTGCTTAACACGATTTTATCTCAGGAACTATAAGTGCAAATGAGCTGAAATTTTTAGGGATTGTAATCCTCTACTGGAATAGGAATCGCTTGAAATTTCAGCTTTCAGTCTTTTATAGAAAAAAAGTTATCACCTTTCAAAGTTTTTCAAAATCTAAATCATAAGGTTCAAATTTTTGTCCTTTGGGATCCCCCAAACTCCATACAATAAATTATTCTCAGATTTGAAGCCGAAAACTATGAAAAAAAGGCACTCAAAAAATTGAAAAATTGATAAATTACCCCAAATTGCTTAACACGATAAAAATTGTTGAAAATTTCAGCTTTTTATGTATAATAGAGAAAAAGTTATGGGTCTTCAAAGTTTTTAAAAATCCAAATCTATCTCAGTACTAAAAAGATGAATTTTCAAATTTTTTCACAGGTGCTCTGATTGTTCAAGAACTAACTTTAAAGCCCAACTGCGACTTCTTGCACGAACTGGCAAAAACCAGCCAACACGAAAACGTCAAACAAAAATTGCTCGAGCTGATTCAGACATGGAATTTTGCTTTTAGGAAGAATCCGAAACACAGCAACTTGCAGGTAAGGATTTACTTGAGATGTAGATAGAAATCTTATCTTGTTGTTTGTTTGCTATTTATAAGTATCAGATGATTTCATTCTTTGTGTAAAATTTTATAAAAATATGGATTTTATACCAGGAGCAGATACATGGGTAAGTTTTCTTTTGTACTATGTACCTAAGATTGAACAAATGCAAAAATAAATTGCTCTATTTTTGACCTCAACAGGTGCAGATGTATCTAAAAATTGATGTCTTATCGATTTGTAAACTTAATAAGATTAACCTGAATTCCAGGATTTGATGGCCGCAATGAAAGCGGAAGGCCACAAGTTTCCAGTGCTACGAGAAAGCGACGCCATGTTTGCCGCAGACACTGCTCCCGATTGGCGCGACGGCGATTCATGCCACAGATGCCGCGTACAATTCACTTTGCTTCAAAGAAAACATCATTGCAGGTAAAATATTTATTATTTTAGTCGCACACAAAGCTAAGAAGTAAGTTCCTTAGGGCTTGTGGTCAAGTTTTCTGCAGTCAATGTACCACAAAAACAACAACCTTACCAAAATTCGGCATAGAAAAAGAAGTAAGAGTGTGCGACACTTGTTTCGAGAAGGCCACCAAGCCTGTAACTGCTCCAAAGTCGCCCAAACAAGAATACGAACTGCCTCCCGAATATTTGAGCAGTTCTTTGGCCCAACAAAGTCAAGAGCCGCCTCGCAAATCTGAAGAAGACCTAAAAGAAGAAGAGGAATTGCAATTGGCTCTGGCTCTTAGCCAATCCGAGGCCGAGGCTAAGGAAAAAGAAAAACTTCGAGTCACCAATGCGTTGCTTAACAATTCATTCAAAAAAGAACCAGAGCCTGTTGTGGCTCGCCGTAGTCCATCTCCACAGCCTGAAGAACCACAAACTACAAACAATCCAGAGCTCGATCGTTACTTGAATCGCTCTTATTGGGAATCTTTACAAAACAATGATTCCAAAGACAGGCCTACTAGTCCTTCAGCCCCCTCACCAGCTTCATCAATTATAAGCAACAATGAACCACTCAAATTTATTAAAGCCAAAGAAAACGGAGTTGGTGATCATGCTTTGGAAGAATTCACTACAACTCTCAAAAGCCAAGTGGAAGTTTTCATAAACCGCATGAAAAGCAACTCTAGCAGAGGCAGATCAATCGCCAACGACAACAGCGTCCAAACTCTATTCATGAGCATAACAAATATGCACTCAAAATTGCTCAGATACATTCAGGATCATGATGATAGAAGATTGCATTATGAAGGCTTGCAAGACAAACTAACTCAAGTGAAAGACGCCAGAGCTGCTTTGGACGCTTTACGCGAAGAGCATCGCGAAAAGCTTAGACGCGAAGCCGAAGAAATCGAACGCCAACGCCAACTGCAGATGGCGCACAAACTTGACATCATGCGCAAGAAAAAGCAAGAATACTTGCAGTACCAGCGTCAACTGGCCTTGCAGCGCATCCAAGAGCAAGAGCGCGAAATGCAAATGCGCCAAGAGCAACAGAAACAGCAATATTTAATGGGCGGAGCTCCGCAGTTTGCTGGCTACGTGCCACAATATCAACCGCCTAATTCGGCTCCACCTGGCGGGTACTACGGGCAATATCAAATGATGGGGCCGCCTCCGAATTCCGCTCCGCCGAATATGGCTCAAATGGGTCCACATCCTCAAGCTTTTCCGCAGCAAGCTGGGCAATTTAATCCTCCTCCTGGTGTTATGGTGGTACCCAATCCTGTGATGGCACAACCAGGACCACAAGGTAATTGTAATTAGAGTAAGTATGTTTTATTTATAATTTTTGTTTAGGTCCTCCTCAAATGGGATTTCCGCCACAGGTTGTTCAAAATCAGCCGCCTCCTCAAAAGAGTGATGAACAAGCACAAACTGGAGAATTGATAAGTTTTGATTAGAAGAAAATATTTAAGCCCCCTTTATATTATTATTATTATTGTTGCGCTATATAGACGTTAATTAAACATGCATTTATTGGTTTTATTACAATTCTAAGCCGTCAGGGCTTACTGCCATGTAGCACAAAACTCCACCGCCTGGAATTTGTTTGGCGGTCACGTAAGCCCTTCCGTCTGGAGATTTGTGGTGCAATACTGGGTTAATTGGGCCCATTTTGGGCAAAAAGGGTATCTAAAAAGTAATTTAAAAAAATCACTTAAATATTACTCTCTTTCTAAATCCAATCAACCTACGGAGTAAAAAAACAACATAACCTTCAAAAGGTTCGTTTCTATTGGTCAATTTTCAGGCCGATTTACATTGTAAAGTGATGTCAGTGTGAACCGGGCCGTTATTGTTATATTTACTCTGTAGGTTCGTTGGACAAAGTATAATGGGATATCATACTTCTTTGCAAATAATATTGCCTAAACATTCGGCCAAAGGACACAAAGGTCCCTCAGGCGGTGGATGTTCGAAAGGGCCGTGCAAGCATTTGTTTCTCACTTGGATTCTCAGAAATTGGGCGTATTCGTTTCTGATTTTCGAGGTTTCCAGATTGTCGTCGGGCAGGGAGGCGAGTTTTTTGGTCCACTCGGTACATCTCACCCTATCTGTATTGAAACTAGTAAATGAACAATTTTTGGGGTGTAATTCTTACCGAATGGTGAATCTAGCTTGACTATGAATGAGGCAATGTCCAATAGGGCATTTCTGAACTCTTCGTTGTCTTTTGAACCCATTTTATTGACTGGAATTTTGTAAAATTGGAGTTGTAAATTACTTTCTGTCAATGCCAATACATCATCAATATATTACAGGTGTATTGAAATACACATTTGAAATATCACCCAAATATGAGCAAATATGACGTAAAATACCTAAACTGCAAAATCTGCTCTAAATTATTGATTTTAAAATAAATAGTCATCTATTTTAAGTCCCTTTCTCTGTGTCGAAACCGAAAGGTATGACACTTCCAAGTATTTTGTACACCTGGATTTTTGATTTTCATTACCTTAATGGAAATCAATGAAATCAAAAATTCGATTTGGAAAATCTCATGATTTCACTTGATTTCAACGATTTCCTGAGATAATTATTTGATTTTACTTGACTTTGCTGATTCCACTTGATTTTGTTGATTACATTGATTTCCCAGATTTACATTGATTTCCCAAGAGTAAATGTGATTTTACTAGATTCACACAGATTTCATGATTTCATTACCATTTACTATATGTCGAGATCGAAATTATTGGTAATGACTCATACCATTAGCAACGCTTTATCGAATAAGTGGCATCATAATAAAGTCGAGAAGTTTTACTGTGCCAATACTACCACTTCACAGAAATTACACCATACTGTACTGTGAGTAATTTCGATCTTGGGTAGTATAGGCAAAGTATAGGCGTCAGGCGAAGGGTGAATAGCTGACCCAAAATGTGTAGGTACACTGAGATCACTGACTGCCAAATTCCACAATCTTTAAGGGGGAAACAGCACCTCATGTACACTGTGCCCAAATTACTTGTAATCACTCGGTTCCTCGGTAACCAGCAGAGATAAAACTTTGCGGTTCTGTGCTTGGCGGTTTTCGCCAACCTGTATCAATTTTTCGTGAAACTTCAAATGCCGCAACAGAATTGTGCCACCTTGTCTCGTTCCCGAGATACAGGGTGAAATAGAAATTTTGCGCTTTTTTGGGGTGGTACCCTCTAAGATAGAAAAAAGGTGAAAACTACTATAGATAGATATTTTTATGTAGTATCCAGTGTTGTAGTCAATAGTTAATATTGCTTCACTAAGTTCATTAAGATTATTAAAGTTTTTCAAGTTCAGAGTAAAAAATGGTTATTTAAAAAATTAATAATTTTATTCAATTTTGCTTGTGGACACTTTAATAGGTACCTATAATTCCATGGCCAACTTACGTTTTTCTTTCATTATTGCGTTTTTAAGGGTTAGTTTGAGTCATAGTGCAAAGTGTGATGCCTCATTTCAAAGAGAAAAAAATCCGAATTTTTTGGGACCAAAAAATACAGGGTGTCTCATTTATAAAATACTAAAATCGGGGTATATTTCGAAAGGATTTGTCTAAAAAAAATTTTGACTACAGCACTGAATTTTTTGTAGAAATATCTATCTACAGCAGTTTTCACCTTTTTTCTATCTTACAGGGTGTCCTATTTCACTCTGTATCTCTGGGACAAAACAAGGTGGCATAATTCTGTTTGTGGCATTCTAAGTTTCACGAAAAACTGGGTCGCGAAAAACACAAAGTTGCTGGTTACCGAGAAACCCTGTAATTACAAGTAATTTGGCCATTTGGGACACAGTGTTTGTATATGCGCATATACGCCCATTTTATTAATTGGGCCAAAATTAAACAATAAAACAAAAAAGGCCCTAATTTTGAACATTTTATTGGTGGAGGCACAGCCTTTAAAAACAACGATTTCAGGATTTCAACAAATTGTATGTGATTTGTGATGATTTTAAGTGATTTAAAAGGATTTTCTTGATTTTGATTGATTTTTCGGATAGACTTGATTTGCATTGATTTCGAATAATTTTGGGAAATTTTTCAAGATTTCAATGATTTTAAGGGATTTAATGTGATTTTGCTTGATTTTACAGATTTCGGTGATTTCTATTGATTTATTTGAGTTTAAGCAAAGTGTACACCTGATTTCAGGAGTGTCACACCCCTCGGTCGAAACTGAATTCTAGACCTGATTTTAGATAGATAATTTTTGATGAAATCTGATATTTCTGTTTTTATCGGATTCAACATTGCTTTTCCCCTATTTGGTTGATTTAATCGAATTTCAGTGTCTTAGGTGGATGTTTTCGCTGGATTTTCCCAAATAAATGTTTTCGATAGTTACTCTTCTTTCTTTACCAATGGTATGTTATCACAAATGTAAGAAAAATTGAGAAAAAAATTGGTAGATAAGAGGACATTCATGTTTTTTCTATTCCAGGCTCTTGAATTTTCTTTATTTGGACAAATTCAAGAGCCGGGGATGGACAAAAAATGAGCTGGAAAAATTGAGAAACAGAGAGAAGGAATTTGAGAAAAATTTGGTAGATAAGAGGATATTCATGTTTTTTCTATTCCAGACTCTTGAATTTCCTTTATTTGGACAAATTCAAAAGCCAGGGATAGACAGAAAATGAGGTGGGAAAATTGAGAAATAGAGCAAACGAAATTTAAAAATAATTGAGAAAAAATCTGAACGAATTCAAGAGCCGGGAATAGACAAAAATGAGATAGAAGAATTTCTGCCTCGGGCTTCACTTACTGGGTCCTCCTACTTTGGGCGTGAACCCTTTCAAGTATAGATATACCACCACTGGTTGAAAAGCTCTACAGCTCTACCCCCCCCCCTTCCTTCCCCAAAGAATGATGTTATAAATCCGCCACTGAAATTAGTTGGGAAAATTGAGAAATTTAAGTAAAATTGAGAAAGAAATTGGATAAATTCAAGGGCCGGGAATAGACAGTGGCAACGCAGCTTCTGTTCTGTAATGGGTACCGGGGTACCATCGGGGAAGACTGGATTGGAAGAGATTTTCGAAATTTGATACTTCTTTATTTTTTAATTTTAATTATATTCCGTTTTATTCATTTTATATAGTTGTTATACATTGTATTATACTGAATGACAGAAAAAATAGAAAAATTGAGAAAAAATTGGTAAATAAGAGGATATTCATGTTTTCTCTATTCCAGCAGGCTCGTAAATTTTCTTTATTTCGACAAATTTAAGAGCCGGGGATAGACAAAAATTGAGAAATAGAAGAGCAATGTAAGAAAAACTGAGAAAAAATTAATTGGTAGACAAAAGGAGACATTCATGTTTTTTCTATTCCAGACTCTTAAAGGACCCCGCAATATTTAAACGGAAATTGGTTACCAGTGATATTTGGATGAAATTCAAATATGTTATTGGTGATGGCGTAGGCAACATTTTTTACCATGGACGCAACCTAGTATATATGACAGGAGAGGCGGTATCGGCTGTCAAATTTTGGAATTCAAACGCAGGGTAATTATCGCAGATTTCGATGACGCAAGTATCGATGCCTACTAAGTCGACCAAGGTAAATCGAAAAATGTCAACCATTTTGAAACCTGTCAAATCCTACCAAACGGCCGCAGCACTCATATTTTTCAGTTTTCAATATTTCATGATGTGTCATTTGACAATCATCAAAAATTGGAAATAAAAATTAAAGAACTGTCAAAACCTGTCATTTATTTTAGTAGGAAAAAATATTCATCTCTGGTTCTTTCTTGTTTTAAGGTAGTTTATTGGTAATAAAACATCAAGGTGATCAAGCAAAGCTCATCGACATCAAATTTTGATAGCTGTCAAAATTTGAAACCTGTTTATAAATTATTTTTATGCTTCATAATAAATAAGCATAACTTAAATAATTGGAACAGAGCTAGAGTTCAGTTTTTTTTTTTTACAATTAAAGCTAATGTCAGATTCTGACAGCTGTCAAAATTTGATGTCTATGAGCTTTGTTTAATGTTTTATCATCAATAACGAAAAAGAGCCAAATTGGAATATTTTTTTTACTAAAAAAAATTACAGGTTTTGACAGTTCTGTATTTTTTTTTTTCAATTTTTGAACTCAGAATTTACATAGGTTGAAATTGTCAAATGACACACATGAACTATTGAAAACTGAAAAATATGAGTGCTGCCGTTTGGCAGGGTTTTGACAGATGTCAAAATGGTTGACATTTTTTGATTAACCTTGGTCGACTTAGTAGGAATCGATACTTGCTTCATCGAAATCTGCGATAATTACCCTGCTTTTGAATAATAAATTCCAATATTTGACAGCCGATACCGCCTCATCTGTCATATATACATGGTTGCGCCCATGGTAAAAAATGTTGCTTACGCCATCACCAATAACATATTTAAATTTCATCCAAATATCACGAGTAACCAATTTCCGTTTAAATATTGCGGGGTCCTTTTTCTTAGAGAAATTTAGAAGAAAACGAAAATTCAACAGCCGGGAATAGACAAAAATTGAGATAGAAAAACAAGCGACAAAATGGTAAAAAGTAGGATTGAAAGGAGGCATCTGTAGCTATTACAGATTCTTACACGACATCAACAAAGCACGAAAACAGATGTCGCCCTACTGCCTGAACAAGGCCAACTGCCACTACCAATCCTATCACTACCTAGATGGAAATTAAGGCTAAATTTACAAACTTAATTATCATTCGAAAACAAAATATCGCAACCTCGAAATTAGAATTGTTGCCCAACCAAGGCCTACACCATTTTCATATCGACCTGGTTTTGGGTAAAACGCCGTGGCGTGGTGGGAGTATCGGATGGGAGTGGCCACTTTCATCACAGTTTGAGTTTCAGCTTTTATTTTGGCTTCAAACGTCGCTCTGAGCAGATGTTGTAGGTACGAACGAACAAAGGAAACGGGCACTTTTATGGATTACAGTGACACGTTCTTTTTTGGATTACTTATCAGATATTTGGATTATTACTTTTGTTGGATTGCGTGTTGTATAATGAGCTATTATAAATTTTATTTTTTTCATTTCTACTCATTATAGGTAGGTATGTGTGTAGGTAGCTCAAATTGTTACTTATTTAGACGTTATTTCAATAGTAAAGCTCCCTTTATCTTCCTATAGACAAAGAATGCACTTGTCCCTTATAACAATGCCTCATCTCTCAACAAACAAAATCCTGTACCGTTCTAGAACAATAAAAGTTCTACCTACCGACTTGCCTCCCCTCGTCCGAATGGACTGGTCCGTCCCAGCCTCAATTAACACAGCATAATCTACTATGCGTGCTGAAAAAGTTTCGCTCGGCAACGTTGCCAACGGTTCCTTCGAGTTTTATCGACACGCAGAAGAGAGGACACAGGCCTAAAATAAAAATTTAATTTTAGTAGACGATTTTTGTGTGTATAGAATGAAAAGCCAACAGGAAACCAGACAGGTTTATATATATTTTTAAAATATGAGTAATTGTTGTTTATCGTTTGAAGAAGGGAATATTATATGTTCAATAATTAATCAGTTGCTTAAATTTGGTTCTGATTGCAAAGGAAAACTTCCCTCTATTATTAGATTTCCTTTAAACAATAATCCATTTTTTCAAAGTTCTTCTCTTCAGATATCATAGAAGGTGAAACTGATGAATCTGAAAAAGTAGTTTCACATTGATTTATTAGGTATATAGGCAGCAGGCTCGATTTCACCCAAAAGCGAAACCACCTGTCAAATTTTGCATTGAAACTTCTTTTGAACTTTCTCCAACAATTTCCTTTATAATTTCTCATACTTTCTCCATCAGGCTTTCTTTTGCATAATCAGAAAAATCTTTGAAGTCAACATAACATATTTATTTGAAGATGAACTTCCTTGAAACTTCTCCTAGGTATTTTTTCAAAGTTCTTCAGATATCATAGAAGGTGAAACTGATGAATCTGAAAAAGTAGTTTCACATTGATTTATTAGGTATAAGCAGCAGGCTCGATTTCACCCAAAAGCGAAACCACCTGTCAAATTTTGCATTGAAACTTCTTTTGAACTTTCTCCAACAATTTCCTTTATAATTTCTCATACTTTCTCCATCAGGCTTTCTTTTGCATAATCAGAAAAATCTTTGAAGTCAACATAACATGTTTATTTGAAGATGAACTTCCTTGAAACTTCTACTAGGTATTTTTTCAAAGTTCTTCAGATATCATAGAAGGTGAAACTGATGAATCTGAAAAAGTAGTTTCACATTGATTTATTAGGTATATAGGCAGCAGGCTCGATTTCACCCAAAAGCGAAACCACCTGTCAAATTTTGCATTGAAACTTCTTTTGAACTTTCTCCAACAATTTCCTTTATAATTTCTCATACTTTCTCCATCAGGCTTTCTTTTGCATAATCAGAAAAATCTTTGAAGTCAATATAACATATTTATTTGAAGATGAACTTCCTTGAAACTTCTACTAGGTATTTTTTCAAAGTTCTTCAGATATCATATAGAAGATGAAACTGATGAATCTGAAAAAGTAGTTTCACATTGATTTATTAGGTATAGGCAGCAGGCTCGATTTCACCCAAAAGCGAAACCACCTGTCAAATTTTGCATTGAAACTTCTTTTGAACTTTCTCCAACAATTGCCTTTATAATTTCTCATACTTTCTCCATCAGGCTTTCTTTTGCATAATCAGAAAAATCTTTGAAGTCAATATAACATATTTATTTGAAGATGAACTTCCTTGAAACTTCTCCTAGGTATTTTTTCAAAGTTCTTCAGATATCATATAGAAGATGAAACTGATGAATCTGAAAAAGTAGTTTCACATTGATTTATTAGGTATAGGCAGCAGGCTCGATTTCACCCAAAAACGAAACCATCTGTCAAATTTTGCATTGAAACTTTTTTTGAACTTTCTCCAACAATTTCCTTTATAATTTCTCATACTTTCTCCAGGTTTTTTTTTGCATAATCAGAAAAATCTCTGAAGTCAACATAACATGTTTATTTGAAGATGAACTTCCTTGAAACTTCTACTAGGTATTTTTTCAAAGTTCTTCAGATATCATATAGAAGATGAAACTGATGAATCTGAAAAAGTAGTTTCACATTGATTTATTAGGTATATAGGCAGCAGGCTCGATTTCACCCAAAAGCGAAACCACCTGTCAAATTTTGCATTGAAACTTCTTTTGAACTTTCTCCAACAATTTCCTTTATAATTTCTCATACTTTCTCCATCAGGCTTTCTTTTGCATAATCAGAAAAATCTTTGAAGTCAATATAGCATATTTATTTGAAGATGAACTTCCTTGAAACTTCTCCTAGGTACTTCTTCTGCAGTTCTCAGGTGATTTCTTCTAATGTCTAATATAATGTACAAAATTTTATGTAAGGCTATTTAATACAAAAAAAAGTGCACAATACTTGGTTCGAATTCGCAAATAACAAGGTGTTATATTGCCTGGCAAAAAGCTAAATTTAAAGCCACTAATATATTCGTGTATTGAAATACTAGATTTGTATTTGTTTTGCAAGTTTTGATAAATTCAAATAGTAGATTGCCATGGAACTCATATCATAATGCTGTCAAATTGTTGAAATAGTAAAATTTTATCGTAGGTGGTTTTGGAAATTCTTACAATAATTGTTCTAGGTATCAAATAATTAATTGAAGCTTCTCTGATACGAAATCTGAAGTAAAAAGCTGACTCAGAAGCTGAAAGTTATGATCTCATACTCGGCAATTTTACAAAAAAATTCAACTTTGACAATTTCTCAAGAGAAAACTGTCAAAAATATTCCAATTATATGAGAGCTTTTAAATTTTCAGTGATAATCTGTTAAAGTTTGAGAAACCATGATTCATTGATTCCAATAATTGACACTCCTGTCATACACCTTTTTAAGATAAAAATGAATGACTGGTCTTAAGACTTCCATGAGATGTAGAATGTTCTTTAACCCATATTGTCACATAAAATATCATGTCTTGGTTTGATCAAGGCTTTTATCATTACATCAGCAACTTGAGTTTCTGTAGATGTTTTGTGTATACTCAAAGTTTCTTCTAAGACAAGCTCTTTCATATAGGAATGTCTGAATGTGCTTGGTTCTCTTGTGGTTCTCAGGATTTTGTGCCAAACAAATTACTGCTTCGTTGTCAACTAATAACTGGAGTTTCTTTCAGTGTTATTATTTCTTCATATACTCTTTTCAACTATACAAGTTCTTTTGAAGCTTCGCTAGCTGCAACAATCTCCGCTTTGGTTGTAGAAATTGCAACTGAAGGTTGTCTCTGATTCATCCAGGATATAGCACCTTCAGCATCAGGGTTGGCAGGATATATATCAGCGATAAATATCCTGATATATATCTTGATATTTATGTTATAAATATCATGATATATTTCAATATTACATCAATATTACGTGTGTGGCCTTCTTTTCTTATTTTATAGTTTTATTATTTTATGTTGAGAAGTTTAACGGTTGAGTAGTATATTTATGAGAAGGAAAAAACAGACTATATTACGTAAATTATCAATTAATATTTGATTTATTTTTATTTGTGTATAACAAATATCAGGTTTTCTAGGGCGAGTAGGTATTATGAAACTATTTTGACAGATAACTAAATGTTAACTTCTGGAGTTACTACGAGAAAAACCGTCATTCCAGAAGTTAACATAAATATTTTCATATTCTTAAACTCGAATTTTTATTTACCTACTACACTTTACGTTCCTATACATATGTATAGGAGATAGGAGCACTAAAACTTGTTATCGCCATACCAACTTTGCATGTTTGTGACATTTTATTAAATTTACCATAAAGTTATGTTGAATTTTAATAATATAGTGTTGTGGAACGTCCTGTTTATATATTCCCTCCATGATTAGCATCACTAAAATCTTGTAGGTAACCTCTTCTCACTTCTGGTGCTTGGCCTGTAAAGTAATACCATAATTGAGTGTTCCTTGAATGTAACGGAAATTTCTCTTTACTTGAACAAACTCTTTGTGAGTTGGATTTTCCAAACTTCTTGAAGCCACACTGACTGCGTATGAAATGTCTGGTCATGATTCTGACATCAGGGAAAGTAACAATTGCATTTTTGACGGACCTACAATAATTGTTCATATTAAATTTGAAGTTGTTCAATATATTGGGATATAGAATATCATCCATTACTCTTTGGAATGTAACCGGCGCGTCCTTCAAACCAAAGGGCATGCGCAAGAATTCATAATGCCCGTTTTCTGTGCTGCATGCGGTTTTTTCGATGTCGTTTTCATGCATCTAGATCTGGTGGAAGCCGCTAGCTAAATCTTAGGTGGTGAAATACTAGCAGCGTCAAGATATCCGTTTATATAAAAATAAATTGTTAGGAATGTTAGGATCAGGAACTCAATATTTATGTACCTACTGACTACACCCACTACGTAGAATGCCAAAATCACTATGGGGGCTCGCTACTGGGGCTCAAGCCCCCATTGCCTCCATGGTTTCGGCGCCTATGTGTATACTTCGTCTTCAAGCTCACCATATAGAAATCCTGCACATAGGTACATCAAACTGGCTTAGACTTAAATTTTCACTGGCAATATTTCTTCTGTGAATAACCTTTTGCGACTAGTCTGGCTTTGAATTTATCTATAGATCCATCTGGATTGTATTTAAACTTGTACATCCATTTATTTGGTATAGCCTTCTTATTATTGGGTAGCTTTCCTAAAGTCCAAACACAGTTCTCCATAGACTTCATTTCTCATCCCATAGCCATTTTTCAGTAATTTGCTCTATTACTTGACATAGCTTCTCGGTACGTAATTGGCTCATTTATTTCCATAATGTCTGCAGCAACCATCATGGGCTTTTGTATGTGATTTCTATCTTTCAGTTGTCTACTTGGTACATTTACATAGAACTTCTTTTGAAATGTCATTATCTGGTGATTCTGGCCCCCTATACTTGACTGCCTGGGAAAAGAGTGTTCCCAAATTTTGAAAGCATTTGTTTAATATATTTATTTTTAACTACCCTATGAACATCATCGCTGTAAGCCTGTAAGTTTTCGATAATTGTATTCTTCTTATGGGATGTGGATACATGAGGGAAAGTTCTACATAATTTTCCGCATCACAAATTCCGTATTCCTGTTCCTGAACTTCGTGCAGCTCATCAACTTCTGGAATACTGTTTTTTGCTTAAAGCCGAGTATAGAATAAAGTTGAGACTCGCGGTAACATACGAGAGTAACCATATCCACTATTTCGTGGCAGCATACCTTTTTGCTTACTCTAAAAAATTTCACGAATTTCTGATCAAAAGAAAAGGAATTCTTTGAGGCAGAACATCCCATCCTATTTCTTTTGCTTCTGCAGCATTTTACATGTCTTCTTGGATTATGTTATATTAATCAAGATAATCTCATTAAAAAAATCCACATTCATTTTAATGAAAAGACACAACATAATGACGAAAAAACCTTGAATTTGGAAGGAGAAAACGAAAACAACGTCAAGTCTTGAGGTTAGAAACCCTGGCGAGAGCTCGTTTTCTCTTGGGTAAGAGGATGGGAACTATAGAATTCGGAACTTTCACTTCAGTCCCATTTTCAAGAATACCTATGACATGTACTTTTTTGAGGTGAACCACGTCCAATTCCCGAGCAAGTTCTCCCAGAAATTCAAAACGAGTGTCAGAAAAACTATGATTCCCCTAACTATCATCTTCTTCGCCGTCTTATCCATTGTTTTCTTTAGTTTCTTGTTCTGAAGTACTTTTCCTGCTTCTGACAATCTTAAAATTGTTTTGCTGAGAAGTTCGAACAGGGTCTTCCAACAATGACAACGTTGAAATTATGAGTTTTTCGTTAAATATCACATCTTTCGATCTGACTAGTTTCTCAGATTCTTTACACCAAATCCGATATCCATCATCTTGGTCATATTGTCAACTACTTAAGTAAATACCACTCTGTACATCAATTTTACTGAAGTGTGCCGACGAGTCAGCATTTATTTGGTATAAATACCGCGCCGAAATCCATTACCGGCAGACTAAGGCTAGTGCAAAGTACCTCAAATGGGAAAAGCCCCTCTAGCTAAGTCTCCTCCCAGTGCAAACTACCTTTAATGGGAAACGACCTTCTGAGAATATTGAACGCAGTAGACTAGGTCTAGTGCAAACTACCTTTAATGAGAAACGCTCTTCTGGACCTGTCTCAAACCTAGCTTCTTCTGGAAGCATTGAACGCAGCCGACTAGATCCAGTGCAAACTACCTTTATTGGGAAACGTCCTTCTGGACCTGTCTCAAACCCAGCTTCAGTCCTTCAGTCACGCCAAGTGTACATAATACAGAGTGGTCTATACGCAGTACGTTCCTCCTTAGAAGAGACGTCATAATACAATTTCTAGGGTAATATTATTATTATTCAATACATTATCTTATTATACTTATACCAAGCGAGTTTCTCTCTACCTGAACCCCACCTACGCCCCCAGGTCACGCTCCTGTTGTGACGTCCCAGGACGAAACGTATAGGGGTTGTGACAATATCCTATAAGTGTGCCTTTCACTGCCTTTTTATGAATTTTTTTTCTTCCTGACTTTGGTACTTGGGCATAACAGGATGTCCCAATAATTCTCATATGTTCTAGAGAAGACTTTTTTTCATACCACAGTTCTTCGATACTAGAATTACCAGTCCTATTCAAAATGTACGCCGATGTTCAGGGACACTTTATCCGTTAGGACAATTAGGTCATGTCCTACGGGCCACTAGAGAATGAAGGCCAACTGCTGGCTTTTGATTTATAATATAAAATATAAAAGCCCACTGCCCCACTATACTAAAAACATCGACTTGTTTAATAGCAGGACTAGCATATATTTCAATACTCTTTAATTCTTATAATTCACACTACACAAGCACATTTGGTTTGGCCAGAGTGCACTGCCTGACTTCACGATGCTCTGGAATCCCTCCACTCGCTCCATCGAGCATCAATCCGGAACACGCCCTAGAGTCACCGAGCTGCGCTGAATCGCCGTCGCGTCTTTAGCGCAGTACGGGCACGTGGCAACTTGCAACAACTACAGCAGGAGCCTGTTAGTGTTTGCGCTGCTTTGCCACATTGTAAGTTTCTTTGAGCTTCTTCTGGAGCATCCAGGGACTTGAGCAGTGTCTTAAGGGTCCAGTGTACCACGGAGTCGTGCCTTGTTGTTGTTGAGCTTGTAGGACATGCACAGGCAACGTGGTACGAATGTTCCTCAGAGATGCAACCCTTTATGCATCTTTTCCTCGCTAATGGATTTGATCCCAAGCCTTGCAACTGTTCTTCCGAAGCACCCATAAGTACACTTAGTCCCCAGCATCCATATGTGGTGATTGGTAGGCTGGGAGCTCAATGCCATCATTTTCTTTTAGGACATTCCGACCATATAGCATATTTTGTGACCATTCTTGTTCCATCATTTTGTAGTACCTTTCTTTGATTTTACCGAATACTACTTGGCAACATTTTTTGTCTTCATATTCTGCCAGGTTAGTAGTTTGAAATCGTCTGAATGATTTTATTTAACCCTATAAAAAAAAACAATCACTTATGAAAGGCCATACCAAATAATTGACCTACGGGCCAGAGAAAGGTTAAAGCGTCACTGCCGATGTTATTTCAGCCCACAAAAGTTATGAAAAATCTTCATTAGTATACATGATGGATGTAGCAGTTTCAACGATAGTAGGTACGATATGTCTTACTCTGATGTATAAGGAAGGCATTACAAGACTCTGTTTGATTCCACTTTCTTGTTGAATGTTTCCTTTTTGGCCATTGTCAAATTTTCCACCATTATCTTAGAGTAGCTGCTTTACTATATATCCTAAGAACTGTTTTTACTCCAGTTAACATAATTATCAGATTTTTCTTTCAGAAAGTAAACATAACGATAACGACAAATCATCCTTGAAGAGTACGAAGTATCTTTAGCCACTTTTGGATTTTTCATAAGGCCCACAAACATCTGTATGTAAGAGTTCTCCTGATACCTTTGCACTTTCAAACTTTTTCCTGTGCATTTTACCATAAATACAACCCTCACATATTTCGGTCACTTTCAGGCCAAACTTACGACTCAAAATATCTCTGATGTGTCGTATAGTTGCAATAAGTTATCATTTGAAACTACATATGTTGATTTGACCTGTTTCCTTTGGCTTAATGATCTGTAATGCTAGTTTGCACAGTCCTCCAAATCTACTTCTTTCACCTGTCAGTCTGGTTTCACCCTCAACTATAAAACTGCATTTTCAGTGCTCGAAGTAAACTTTGATGTAGGCTGTAAATCTTGTACATACATATAAAACCGAAAATAAATTATTTTTAGTCAGAGGAACGTACCATACGTCTGATAACGTCAAAACATCTTCTTTGTTTGTACCAGAATTTTTCCTTTTCCAACTGCTCTGGGTTTAGGTCAACAAGCTATCAAAAAGGATTCATATTTTCAACAAGGGATAATTGAAGTTTCAAGCTGAAAGTTTATACTCAGACTCATAAGCTCAGTCGTAATCTCAATCGCCAGTCAATACAAGTTTTAGAAAAACATTAAAATATTTTTCAAAAGAGTTCTCAGGCTGTTGAAACTGATCCAACTTTCTCAGGAATTTGAAATTTCAAACAATCATGAAGTGAAGCTTTTTTTATATGAAACTTAGAGCTGGTATTTCAATGTTACCTTAAAATCAAGACTTACCTAAGGTACAATTAACGTTAAGGTGAACTTGAAATCGGTTCATCCAGGTGGCTTAAGATCCATCTTGAATTAAGGGAACTTTGATATACGGTAGAACTTGTATTAAGGATGACTTCTAAAGGTGACATTGAAATACCGGCCTTTAAAGTCAGAAGTTGATATTTGACTTAGAAGTGATGATTTGCAACTCAATGGCAATTTTCAGATAAAAATCAAACTTAGGGCCGGTATTTCAATGTCACCTTAAGGTACAGAATGACGTTAAGTCATCCCTAATACAAGTTTTACCGTATATTAAAGTTCCCTTAATTCAAGGTGGGTCTTAAGCCACCTGAGCCAGCAAGTTCACCTTAAAGTTGAGGGTACCTTAGGTAAGTCTTGATTTTAAGGTAACATTGAAATACCGTCCCTTGAGACAACTTTTTAATAAAAATTGAAGGTTCAGAGGCTGTCAAAAATCATTAATTGAAGCTTATCTTACACAAAACTTCAAAAGAAGCTGGGTTTAATGTATGATCTTATTTGCAACTCAAGAGTAGCAATTTCTAATAATTTCAATAGGAGTGTTATAAAAATAGGTCCTTATTGAAGTAGAAGAAGTAGTTTTCAAATATTACACTACTAGTCATAGAATCTTCATTTCACGACTCAGATACCAGATATTTGAATTGTAGAAAAGCTCAAATTTCCTCGTAGAGTTGAAATATGTACTACAATTGAGTAGAATAAAATACCTGAAATATTTTAGATATAATATGTATGTACTTATTTATATTATTGGTATGCTAATGATTATTATACTGTAAAAGGAATAATCAGGTCATTTAATTCCAATCGCAAAACGTTTGGAATTCAATCTATTTTTCTACTTTACTAAGAAGTAAATTTCAGCTCAAATTTCCATATAAACCCATGTCCCTGTCTATCAAACAAACCCATCAGAACATGAAAAAAAAAACAAACATTATAAAAATCGAGTACACAAATAATAGAAAGTTACGTTTTCAGCTTGCGTAGTCGGTCGTTTCGTCGAACCCCGGAGACCTCCAGAGGTCCGAATCGACAGAGACGAAAGATAAAGGACCGCTATAGGCGGCTACACGAAATCGTACGAAGCGAAAACCGACCTGACTTTTGAGGACGAGCTGTTCGGTTGGTGGAGGAAGGTCGTTGATAAGCTCAGGAGGTCGATGCGACGATGCCAACACTTTGAAGATATCTTTGGATTGGTTAGTATGATTTTAAACTTATGAATTCCATGAAATACTCATGATAGTTGTATAAGTAATGTTTAAGATATTAACCAATTTAATTGTAGAGGGTGCATTTATTTGCCAAAATATCTCTATTCATTTTCTATCTTGCCTTGCACCCTCTCTAAATCAACAGAACATTGTTATTTCAAACTGGGGAGCCAGGAAAAGCAAACCCCAAGTTTTTCGTTTGGTTTTTCAATATTTTGCACATGCTATTTTCTTTGAGAAACTTTATAATTGGGAATAATCATACTGATTTTTCTACTAAATGGTTTAATTCTCTCATCAGCAAAAAAGAACCAAAAGTCCAATATTGTCTGATGATTATTTCATGGAATATGACTTTATGGTACTGAAAATCAAATTTCTTCTTTTCTTTTTTCCAGAAACATCTCATCTTGGTAGGGGTTGGTACTAGACTGATTCCAGATGGGCTGCATATCGTTTTCTTCACAAAATATTAAACCAATATACCTAGTCAGAGAATATGACTTTGAAACATCTCGTCTTAGGAGGTTGGTGATGGACTGATTCTAGATGGATATCTTCTTCACAAAATCTAAAACACAAATAAATCTTGAGTTTCAAATATGATTCAGTGTTTATTATATACATAATCTCGAGCCCTCTATTACCGTTTTGCATAATTCCAGGTACCAGCAACAAACTCTCTTCTCATAAAGCTCAAACAATGAAAAAGGGACATTTTTCAAAGAATAACTACCCTTCTTCTCCAGCCCCTTTTGAAACTCACCCTCCGGGGGGTGTAGAAAATAAGGATTTCGGGTGAGTCCGAGGCGGCAACGTGGTGCACAAGCGCCGAGGAGGAACTTAGCGTAGCAATTCGACCGCGCGTCACTGTGGAGCCTGAACAGAACTCTCCGAAGAAGTCGAAAAAAAGGCACATAAAAGGGGGCGAGAGTGAAAAAAAAAAAAGTGTGCAAAATTTTCCGAGGTGTGTTTTTTTTTTCTCGGTTTCCGTGTGCAAAAGTGTGGTGAAACATGTGAAATTTGTGATCCGAAAAAGAAGCGAATTTGTGGTGCGCGCGGTGGCCAAACAACCCCCGAGGGTTCTTTTTCTAGATATTAAATTTTTAAAAGGAAATAGAAGTGGTGCAACATGAGGTCGAAAAGGCAGCGGTGGTTCTGTGGTGGTTATGTGAAATAGTGTTGTTTTTCAGTGCGCCGCAAAAAAAACAACGTTTCCTCAATGTGGAGTTTAGGGCACGATGGTCAGAGAGACTAGACACTTGTGGGTAGGAAATTTACCCGAGAATATCAGAGAAGATCGTATAAGGGAACATTTTAAACGGTAAGAATTCACTTTTATAAGTGATTAACAATACACGTACATGTTGCAATGATGAAATGTACAAATTTGCACTAACTTTATATAGATAACATAACTACAATATGGAAACTTTATAGTGAAATAAGCCTCCAGACGCTAGAACATCAAAATGAAATCCTTAATCGATCGAGTCTAATAGCTTGAAAATCGTCAAATAATTCATAAATTAGAAAACGCCATATAACTCAGGTGCCAAAATATACATTAATTTTGAATTTTATTTCCAATTACAACAAATTCCTCTTGATTTTCTTTTTTTGTACCTACCAAAGTCAAAATAAACAATAAGTACCCAAAATATCTACTATAGATATCAGGTAGGTACCCGAAAATAGAACCGAAAAATTCATAATTCATAGTTGGTGCCTCGCTTGAGAAACATTTTACTGACGTCAGGTAAGAAATATATATTGCGATTCCAAATTACAACAGATCAAGGTTGAACTTCCTTATTTTTTTTTTTTCGTAGGTTTTTAATTCTACTGAATGGATTCCGAAAATTCAAGGTAAGATACGTCCAACCAAAAAAATTACTGAAAATAGCTTTGAAATTCAATTGGCTTATTTCATTTATTTATTTATACGACATCTATAAATGTAAAGTTGGCATTATTTGCCACCGTTACACAACACTTTTGGTAAACATTTCCTTAGGTCAGTTTTATTGAAGCTTTCCATCGAGCTTTCCATGCTGCCCTATAAAAATAATATAACGTGTGTAAAAACTACCAGAGCTCATCAAAATTAAGCAATTTGTATAAAATATCATAAAAGTAGGTATGTTTTATGTATTTTTCTAAGGGTAAAAAATGTTAGACATTACATTTATGCTCCTAAATTCAATAGAACATCTAGACCTTTTTTTACACCCCAAAATCTAGGTACCTACCCTTCAAAATGAGCCACTTTTGTGAAAAACTTATCCTCATATTTTTAAAAATTATGGTTGAAGTCCACAGAGAAATCATTGAGATAACGAAAAAGTTCCAAAAATACGTTTTCAAGTAAGGGAATTCCATTTTTGTTATTGTTTTTTTTTTGAAAAATAAAAGAGTATTATTGAAAGTTCCAAGTGAAGAATGAATACAATAAACAATTTCCAAGAAACCTATGTCACTACATAATAAAATAAAAATGTTATCATTATTGAAAGCTTCTGGAAAATAATTCAAGCAATCAGAGGGACTTCTAACTTTCAGGATTTATTGAGTAGGGTCTTTTTATCGAACAGAACAGACCTTGAATAAATCTCAGGCTCAGAAATGGAATTATGAATTTTTTTTTCACTTAAATGCCAAGAAAATCTTATAAAATGAGCTGAAATTTTCAGGGATTGTAGTCCTCTACTGGAATAAAAATCGCTGAAAATTTCAGCTTTCTATCTATAATAGAAAAAAAGTAATGACCTTCCAAAGTTTTCCAAAATCTAAATGATAAGGTAGCCTTCTTACTGAAACGATGAAATTTCAAATTTTTTGTTGTTGAGATTTTGTGTCCTAATGGTCATTTGTGATCCCCCAAACTCGATACACTAAAATATTCTCAGATTTGAAGCCGAAATCTCTGAAAAAAGGCACTCAGAAAAACTGAAAAATTGATAAATCACCCCAAATTGCTTAACACGATTTTATCTCAGGAACTATAAGCCCAAATGAGCTGAAATTTTCAGGGATTGTAGTTCTCTACTGGAATAAAAATCGCTGAAAATTTCAGCTTTCTATCTATAATAGAAAAAAAGTAATGACCTTCCAAAGTTTTCCAAAATCTAAATGATAAGGTAGCTACCTTCTTACTAAAACGATGAAATTTCAAATTTTTTTGTTGTTGAGATTTTGTGTCCTAATGGTCATTTGTGATCCCCCAAACTCCATACACTAAAATATTCTCAGATTTGAAGCTGAAATCTCTGAAAAAAGGCACTCAGAAAAATTGAAAAATTGATAAATCACCCCAAATTGCTTAACACGATTTTATCTCAGGAACTATAAGTCCAAATGAGCTGAAATTTTCAGGGATTGTAGTCCTCTACTGGAATAAAAATCGCTGAAAATTTCAGCTTTCTATCTATAATAGAAAAAAAGTAATGACCTTCCAAAGTTTTCCAAAATCTAAATGATAAGGTAGCTACCTTCTTACTAAAACGATGAAATTTCAAATTTTTTGTTGTTGAGATTTTGTGTCCTAATGGTCATTTGTGATCCCCCAAACTCCATACACTAAAATATTCTCAGATTTGAAGCTGAAATCTCTGAAAAAAGGCACTCAGAAAAACTGAAAAATTGATAAATCACCCCAAATTGCTTAACACGATTTTATCTCAGGAACTATAAGTCCAAATGAGCTGAAATTTTCAGGGATTGTAGTCCTCTACTGGAATGAAAATCGCTGAAAATTTCAGCTTTCTATCTATAATAGAAAAAAAGTAATGACCTTCCAAAGTTTTCCAAAATCTAAATGATAAGGTAGCTACCTTCTTACTAAAACGATGAAATTTCAAATTTTTTGTTGTTGAGATTTTGTGTCCTAATGGTCATTTGTGATCCCCCAAACTCCATACACTAAAATATTCTCAGATTTGAAGCCGAAATCTCTGAAAAAAGGCACTCAGAAAAACTGAAAAATTGATAAATCACCCCAAATTGCTTAACACGATTTTATCTCAGGAACTATAAGTGCAAATGAGCTGAAATTTTCAGGGATTGTAATCCTCTACTGGAATAAAAATCGCTGAAAATTTCAGCTTTCTATCTATAATAGAAAAAAAGTTATGACCTTCCAAAGTTTTCCAAAATCTAAATGATAAGGTAGCTACCTTCTTACTAAAACGATGAAATTTCAAATTTTTTGTTGTTGAGATTTTGTGTCCTAATGGTCATTTGTGATCCCCCAAACTCGATACACTAAAATATTCTCAGATTTGAAGCCGAAATCTCTGAAAAAAGGCACTCAGAAAAACTGAAAAATTGATAAATCACCCCAGTGCAAATGAGCTGAAATTTTCAGGGATTGTAATCCTCTACTGGAATAAAAATCGCTGAAAATTTCAGCTTTCTATCTATAATAGAAAAAAAGTTATGACCTTCCAAAGTTTTCCAAAATCTAAATGATAAGGTAGCTACCTTCTTACTAAAACGATGAAATTTCAATTTTTTTTTTGTTGAGATTTTGTGTCCTAATGGTCATTTGTGATCCCCCAAACTCTATACAGTAAATTATTCTCAGATTTGAAGCCAAAATCTATGAAAAAAGGCACTCAGAAAAATTGAAAAATTTATAAATCACCCCAAATTGCTTAACACGATTTTATCTCAGGAACTAATGAGTTCAAATGAAATGAAATTTTCAGGGATTGTAGTCCTCTATAAATTTTGGAAGCTTCTGAAACATACTTCAAGCAATCAGTGGGGCATCAAACTTTCAGAATTTATTGAATGAAACAGAACAAACTGTAAATGGATCTCAGGCTCAAAAATGGAATAATGATATTTTTCTCACTTAAATGCCAAGAAAATCTTGTAAAATTTCTTTTAAATCACCTTTGGGAGCTTTTGAAACATACTCCAAGCAATCAAAGGGACCTTAAACTTTCAGAATCTATTGAACAGAACAAACCTCCATTGGATCTGCTCAGAAAAGGAATTATGAATTTTTTTTCACTGATGCTTCTAGCTTTTCTTCAAATATGTTATGTTATATGTCTATGAACTAAACTTTAAAATAAGGAGTTCTTGCTCAGAAAATGATGAAATCTCAAAAAAACAGTATAAAAACCTTAGTTTTATTGAGTTTTTTGATATTTTCAACCAGAATACAAGATCCAAGATCTTGGAATAGACATTTTGAAACACAATAAGAAATACAGAAGAAATTTAATAAAAAATGGGAATTAAACGTACCTATAGTTTATTTCATTGCAGTTGATAGCTCAAATTCAGGGTTAGGGCCATATAAAGTGATTGTAAAACTATTGTAAACCATAAGGTTTAATAGTCCTAAACTTCCATTGGAGCTATCAACTGCAATGAAATAGACTATAATAATACTTATTGAATATTTACTATTCCCTATAACAAGTAGGTACTAAAAGTATATGATTTTTGGACCCAAAAGTATTGAGAAACATAGGTACAAACTTTAGTTGGTTTGTGTTTTTTTTGGGTAAAAATAAAGAAATCCAAACATTTTCATTGGCTTAAATCCAGGGGCCAATTTTGATGCTTCTAAGCAACCAGCTTTTTTATTTTCTCAAACTTACTATACGAGAAACTTTTCTAAAGTTGTTTTTGTTCTCTCATCTTTGAAAAGTTCTTTTAAACTTGCCTTTTCGTTTATTGCTACTCTGAGGACCAAAGTTTACAAATAAGAAGCTCATCTAGAATTTACTATAAAAACTATCAGTTTTTTAACTAAAAGAAGCTTATTTATCAATGCCTTAACTTAGAAATTGTTACAGTAGACAAAGGTTTATTTTTGTTTGATAAACTTAAAAGTTATTAGTTCGTTTTAGTTTTGGCATTTACAAATAAGTACCTACCATTGAAACTTCTATTCAAATATTTATATAAAAATGAAACACTATTGCAAATTTCTGCCTAAACTAGCCAAAAAATAGGAAAACCTAAAAGAAAAAAAATAGAAATCCTTTATTGACCAATAATGTATGTGTCAGCAGGAATACCGGTAAACCACCATCAAACAATGGGAAAAATTAAAATACAAAAGCCATAGAGGGAAGAGATCGCACCAATACGAATACAAAACAATACTAGCTGGTTCTTTTGTTTTTGATGAGAGCCTACCAAAAGGTGAACGTACTTTATTTTGTAATACATTTTCTATTTTAAAACCGAATTGTATTGCTACACATCAGGCACCTGCCATTTCTGTGTTCACGGCTTACGGTTTTCATATACTTGATGGCTTATGTATGTTGCATGTAATCAACAGATTTTAATGTAATC